AATCCAACCAGCAAGGCTGAATGTACCGCCGAACAGTGCTATAAGCTGACTGAGGTACATTTCCTGCTCTCTCCACTGTGCTAAAGGAACTTTGTAGATAATCAGTATCAGTGACCCATAAGATGTTGAGTTCTAGATGTATCACTTAGCCTTGCAGTTCTCAATGTTCCATCAGAACCGAAGTTTTTAAAGCAGGTCTCCTTTCTTGTATCTGTTATGCTCTATTTATAGCTTTATCATAAACCTTATTAAATTGGACATCCAACTTTTTTTTTAATTACAATTGTATTGTTCTTCCCAGGGGCGCGGCATATTTGCCAGTGGAAGCCCGTTCTCCAAAGTGACTCTTCCAAATGGTCAGACATTCTATCCAGGTCAAGGAAATAACGCCTATGTCTTTCCGGGAGTGGCATTGGGAGTCATCGCTTGTGGAGTCCGACACATATCTGAAGATATCTTCCTTGCAACAGCCGAGGTGAGCGTTTTCCTGCCAGAATCCCGTGTTCATGTTTCTGTCATATGTAAAACTCAAGTCTAAAAATGTCTTAATTGTAAGTTGCAGTGAAATGTGTGGTTGATTAAATGTTTTGGGAATGGATCAGAAAGAAAATTAAAGAAGAATGTGATATTTCCTTCTTAGGCCATTGCTGAGGATGTCACAGCTGAAAATCTAGCTGAAGGAAGGCTTTATCCTCCCCTGAGCTCCATCAGAGAAGTGTCCTTCAAAATAGCCGTCAAAGTGAGTATGCTTTCCCATCCCACTGAACAATTGAAGAGATAGTAACAGTAGAGCAGCTCATTGTTTAGTAGATATGCTTCCACTTGACATGCCATTGGTGGGGGCATAAGGGAGGATAGTCTTATCTTGATTATTTCTCAGTTTTCAGATTTAATTTGGTAAATTTCAGAGTAAAGAGAATAACTGCAGTTCTTTATTGTTTATCATGAACATGTTTGCACTTTTGAAGTTCATAAACACATTTTATTCCAATTATTTTCTTTCTATTTTAGATTGTTAACTATGCCTACAGAAACAACTTGGCATCTTGGTACCCTGAGCCTGAAGACAAGGAGTCCTTTGTCCAGTCTCTCATTTACAGTCCTGACTACGACTCGTTTACGATTGACAACTACCAGTGGCCCAAGCAAGCCATGGAAATTCAAGATGTCTAGTTACAAACTGGTGCTATTATCTCTGTTCATTTTACTATTGTACTGTTCTTGAAACACTCCAAGAGTCTGGGGGCTTCATATGGAAATGTACATATCAACCTCCCCAAGAAAGCATCGTGGCAGTAAAAAAAAACCCTACAAACCAAGCTAATGAAATGTAATACATCTAGCTCCCACAAACCAAACCACTACTATATACCCCAAGGAAAGGTTCTATCCCATTTTATCCAAACCGTACTTATTATTATTAAGATGTACCTTTTTTTTTTTTTAAATAAGACGTGAGCTGTTATTGGTTCAATTTGTTGTTTTATTTGGTTTTGGTTATTTTATTTTATATTCCTTCTTTGCTTTTATCATTTCTAGATCAGCAGTGGGATCTGTATATACGTCCATCCTGTAGCTTTGTAAGACCCCATTAGACAGCCAATAACTTTCCAACTATGGTGGTTTGTGTAGTAACTTTTAGGCTATCGGTTGGTTAGCTGTATGCTGAGGGCTGGACACCAACCATTAGACACAATGTTAATTATCTATGTGATAAATTTTGATTCTCAGCACAGGGATTTCATCAGACTATAGGTGGCTTATCCATCTTCTAAGGTTCTAACTCCACATTTAGCTCTTTTAGGCAAACTGATACCTTTTTTGATTGCTAATGTTCCCACCACAAAACCATGTTTGTTTAGCTTTAAATATATAAATTAAACTCCTAGAAAATGCAACTTAGCTTAATATTAAAAGTGTACGTATATGAGTGCAAACTTACAAAATGTACTTACATTAACATACAATTAACCATCCCATAAATAAAACTTTTTTTAACTTTTTTTTTTTATAATGACCAGCATACATCAGGAACTACACAGATTATCCTTTTTATTTTTTTCTAAACCATAATGAGAGTCTTCGCGAACACAAGCCATGTAGACACATGAAAGCAGTAAAACTGTATGTTTTGACAATTCTCTTAAAACTGCGGATTAGTACAATTTGGTGATTTTACTGTTTCTTCTAATGATAGATTTATAGTTCATGTCTGATGGGCTTACAGAAATGTGTGTGTATCTTTCTCTGTGGATTTCTGCACTGTTCGTATTACAGGGTTAATTTCTGCTGGTTATTCTGCGATGCACTGACTCCTTATCTTATTTGAATGTTTTTCGGGGTGAGCAACCACTGCCCTCTCTTATACCGGATATATTTTAATCATACTTTGTACAATCATTGCGGAATGTAAAATTCTGCTAGTCATACATTAAACAAAAAAAGTGGCTTTGTTTACTTTGTGTCCTTGTGTGTTTTTGTTAAAGATCTGTGGACAATTCTATCCTTTACAGAACACCACCTCTAAGTCAGTGGTGGCACTGCAGCTGTTGTGGACTATGTTCCCAAACTCTTCTACAGTTCATCTGTTAATAGTACACAGCTTGAGTGCCAAATGTTAGCCATCACTGAAGCAGGATCTTGTGCACAAGCAGTGTCTTGTCAGTGCAGAGAACAGTGACTCATGGCTAGCTGTACTACATATCAAGTGACAAATACCATGGAGGTCAGTTCATCATACCCTTAACTCAACATTTCCCAATTGGTGTTCCCACTAATTGGGGTTCCACCGAAAAATGTGGGGAAAAAATAGCCGCGAGCGGCAAGGGAGCTCTGATCTCTCCGCTCAGCTCCCTCGTGCACAGAGCAGTGATCCCGGAGCCGGAATATGACGTCACTCCGGAATCACTAGGCGGTGCGCGAGGTAGCTGAGCAGAGAGATCAGAGCTCCCTCGCCACCCGCCTTCACCGCTCACCTGTCTGTCCCTCGCCGCCCGCCAAGCTGCAGCCATCCCCACTGGACCACAGGGACTTCATGCCAGCAGCCCCACTCCTAATGGCTGGATGGAGTAAAATGTAAAAAAATAAATCAAATAAAAATGTATGTGTGTCTGTTAGGGAGTTTGTATGTGTTTGTGTGTTAGTCAGTGAGTGTATGTGTTTGGCAGTGACAATGTATCTGTTCTTATCAATGAGAGTGTATGTGTGCATGTCAAAGTGTGTGTGTGTGTGTATCTGTGTCAAGGTTTGTGCATGTGTCACTGTGTGCATCTAAGTGTGTATGTGCCAGTATGTATCAGTGTGTTTGTATGTGCCTGTGTGTGTGTATCTGAGTGTGTCTGTGTGTATCTGTGGGTGCAAGTGTGTGTATGTCACTGTGTGTATCTGATTGTGTGTGTGTATTTGTGAGTCAGTGTGTGTGTACATCTGTGTTTCAGATACATATACACACTGACACAGACATACACACACTGGCGCATACAAACACAGATATACAAACCTTGACACACACCGGCACATGCAAACACAGATACACACACCTTGACACACAGATACATACATACACACAGTGTGTTAAGGTGTGTTTATCTGTGTGCCACTATCTGCCAGTGTGTATCTGTGTGTCACAGACACATACAAACACAGATACAGACTTTGAAACAGATGCACACACCTTGACACACAGATACACACTGTGTCAAGGTGTGTGTATCTCTCAGTGTGTGTATCTGTGTGCCACTATCTGCCAGTGTGTGTATCTGTGTGTCAGATTCATACACACTGGCACATACAAACACAAATACACACACACACAGTGTGTGTATCTGTGTGTCAGATATATAACTGGCACATACAAGCACAGATATACACATCTTGACACACACATTTAAAAAAAACAAAAAAACGGCGCGATTGAAAAAATAAAATTTTCGGGGGGGAGGGGGCGGGGGATCCACAATGTTGATACACTATGTCAAAGGGTTCCACAGGAAAAATTAATTGGGAAACCCTGCCTTAACTAGTAAATACTGACATAGCTTTATTCAATATGAATTATAATTATAATAGAGTTGAAATTACATGCTAATTACACAGCATTGTTGAGTTCACATAGCAGCAAACTTGCCTGTTCTATGTCGGTGAGTGCCTAATGAAATGCTAAAAAGAAAATGGGGGGTTTTCATTAAATAACAAAAGGTGGTGGAATCGAAGGCTGCATTGCAATCTTCAGGCTAAAATAGCCAAGTTGGGAATGAAGCAGAGCTGGAGAACCTTGTCCAAATTGTCTTTTTTGCACTAAATGATGTAATTCGGTGTACAGTATGTTATAGGCCCTCACCAAGAATGGGCAAATGTTTTATGATCGATTTCAGCTCACTTGTGCTAGTTGTATACCCTTTGAAAGTATCCACTGAATAGTACCTGGTAGATTCGATAAGATTTAGAGGTAGACACAATGTGAATAGATTGCTCTATGTGTGTTGGGGCTTACTCTATAATGATCCTATGAGTGTTGCTATAGTATTGTAACTAACATAACGTTAAAGAATGAGCAGTTTCTGTTTCAGAAAAGGAGGATACTTATTCACATGCTTATCTGCCAAATCTGGAGGAAAAAGCTAGCCACCCTTTAGCACGCAATATTACTTGTGTAATTGTGAAATCAAACACACGGACACATGTTTAATGCACTTCTAACAAAGATTTATTCTCAAAATGTCTGAAAATGTTCAGAACTGATAGTTTCACAGTGTTTATGTATTTCAAGGGAATTTTTTTTTTTTTTTTTTTTTAACTATCCATCACAAACATTAACTCATTAAGTTCAGTTATTATGATTTGTGTCTAATCTAGTGATTGGTTAGAGGTAAATTCTGTATTTTCAAGTTTTCAATAGAACATAATGACCACATTTTGTACATAGCAAGACATGACAAGCAGAATATTTTTTATATTTACTGTTGGTACGTGAATGCAAATAACGAGCAAATTTAATATTTTCAAACCATTAAACGCGATCCAGGTATATATCGTGATTCGCACCATATATTGGTCTCTCCGCAGTTTGTTGTTCGTCTTTTACATTGAAAGCATCGTCGGTAGTTTTCAAATTGATCGAGGAGGAGCTGACTTCCTGCTCTACAGTAAATATGCAAAATACTAAGTTATACCGTGAAATGTGATTGGCATAAATAATTGTATCGTCAATTAATACCAACTTTGGCAAAACAAACTTAAATGCATTTTTACCACGGGCATGAATTTGGGTATTCAATGGCACATTGAGAGGTTTTTGCAATGTGCTTTTTAAAATTAAAAAACTGAATCGTTCCAACTATACATGGGTTGATGGGAAACTCCGAGAAACTGGACAGCTGACATCTTTATTAAAATGTGAGACAAATTACCTCACATTTGCATAAGTTGGCAGTTGTCCAAAAAATTGTGCAAAACAAATTGTACAAGATTTGGTTGTACCTTCAGTCTCACAAGGACAAGAACTGTGGGAGCAGTTGTATTGATTCTGCATAGACACGTTTGTCATGTAATGTATGTTGCATGTATGTGATGTTATGTACGCACATGCTTTATCTGCTAAAAGGAAGCAAGTCTGCCAAGCAGAAACCTATAAGGAAGATATTTTTTCCTTTTTTAGAACATTGTTTCTTAATACCATATCCGTAAAATGGGGTCACAGGTCAGTCTAGAAGGTCCCTTCAATGTCTGTCAAACTTACTGTATGAACTTCTGCTCATTGTGGTCTCTCTGCCGCTTCATTTCAGAGCTCTTGGCCCAGTCATCCTGCAAAGCCTTTTGTAATCTGCTAATCTTCTCATACTCAGTTGCTCTGTAATCCTGAACTCTGGAACACAGACAAGTAAATAAAATTCTCACTTTATATATTGTTTGCTTTTGCACTTATATCGTATGCAGTCTACTCAGTATTTATCATGGTCTCTGTGAGGGCTAATTAGGAATGAAAAAAGTATTACATGACGTATGTGCCCTGTGACATCATCCAGAGCTGATTGAAGTGTCAGTTTTATCTTGGTTGGAGGTCTGGACACATTTCCAAACAACAAAAAATTAATCAGACTTTAAATAAAAAATATAGTTCTCAAACCAAAGCTATACGATTCATATCCCATCTGTTAAAGGCAATGGAATGATGTTCAAATGCAACAAGTAGCCTAATTATACACCTAACAAGGTTAAGGTAAGCAGTGTCATTATGAATACATAACACTGAAAAAGCAATGGAATTATTCCTAATCAGGAATGCAGGTGGCAATGCAGAGCGAGCTAAACAGAGGTAGGCGGACATGCAGGTGGCAATGCAGGTGGCAATGCAGGTGGCAATGCAGAGCAAGCTAAACACAGGTAGGTGGACATGCAGGTGGCAATGCAGAGCGAGCTAAACACAGGTAGGTAGACATGCAGGTGGCAATGCAGAGCAAGCTAGACACAGGTAGGTGGACATGCAGGTGGCAATGCAGAGCAAGCTAGACACACGTAGGTGGCAATGCAGAGCAAAGTAGACACAGGTAGGTGGACATGCAGGTGGCAATGCAGAGCAAACTAGACACAGGTAGGTAGACACGCAGGTGGCAATGCAGAGCAGGTTAGACACAGGTAGGTGGACATGCAGGTGGCAATGCACAGCAAACTAGACACAGGTAGGTGGACATGCAGGTGGCAATGCAGAGCAAACTAGACACAGGTAGGTGGACATGCAGGTGGCAATGCAGAGCAAACTAGACACAGGTAGGTGGACATGCAGGTGGCAATGCAGAGCAAGCTAAACACAGGTAGGTGGACATGCAGGTGGCAATGCAGAGCGAGCTAAACACAGGTAGGCGGACATGCAGGTGGCAATGCAGAGCAAGCTAAACACAGGTAGGTGGACATGCAGGTGGCAATGCAGAGCTAAACACAGGTAGGTAGACATGCAGGTGGCAATGCAGAGCAAGCTAAACACAGGTAGGTAGACATGCAGGTGGCAATGCAGAGCAAGCTAGACACAGGTAGGTAGACATGCAGGTGGCAATGAAGAGCAAACTAGACACAGGTAGGTGGACATGTAGGTGGCAATGCAGAGCAAGTTAGACACAGGTAGGTGGGCATACAGGTGGCAATGCAGAGCAAAGTAGACACAGGTAGGTGGACATGCAGGTGGCAATGCAGAGCAAACTAGACACAGGTAGGTGGACATGCAGGTGGAAATGCAGAGCAAGCTAGACACAGGTAGGTGGACATGCAGGTGGAAATGCAGAGCTAGCTAGACACAGGTAGGTGGACATGCAGGTGGAAATGCAGAGCAAACTAGACACAGGTAGGTGGACATGCAGGTGGCAATGCAGAGCAAACTAGACACAGGTAGGTGGACATGCAGGTGGCAATGCAGAGCAAGCTAAACACAGGTAGGTGGACATGCAGGTGGCAATGCAGAGCAAACTAGACACAGGTAGGTGGACATGCAGGTGGAAATGCAGAGCAAGCTAGACACACGTAGGTGGCAATGCAGAGCAAAGTAGACACAGGTAGGTGGACATGCAGGTGGCAATGCAGAGCAAACTAGACACAGGTAGGTAGACACGCAGGTGGCAATGCAGAGCAGGTTAGACACAGGTAGGTGGACATGCAGGTGGCAATGCACAGCAAACTAGACACAGGTAGGTGGACATGCAGGTGGCAATGCAGAGCAAACTAGACACAGGTAGGTGGACATGCAGGTGGCAATGCAGAGCAAACTAGACACAGGTAGGTGGACATGCAGGTGGCAATGCAGAGCAAGCTAAACACAGGTAGGTGGACATGCAGGTGGCAATGCAGAGCAAACTAGACACAGGTAGGTGGACATGCAGGTGGAAATGCAGAGCAAGCTAGACACAGGTAGGTGGACATGCAGGTGGAAATGCAGAGCAAGCTAGACACAGGTAGGTGGACATGCAGGTGGCAATGCAGAGCAAGCTATACACAGGTAGGTAAACATTCTGGTGGCCATGCAGAGCAAACTAGACACGGGTAGGTGGACATGCAGGTGGCAATGCAGAGCAAGCTAGACACAGGTAGGTAGACATTCTGGTGGCAATGCAGAGCAAACTAGACACAGGTAGGTGGAAATGCAGAGCAAGCTAGACACAGGTAGGTGGACATGCAGGTGGCAATGCAGAGCTAGCTAGACACAGGTAGGTGGACATGCAGGTGGCAATGCAGAGCTAGCTAGACACAGGTAAGTATATGAGACTGATCCACAAGTAGGACAGGAAAGAGACAAACAGCTTGGTTTAGGGCTAGACAGTTACTAACAGATATAACACTATGTGCTGTGTTGCCAGAAAGCTCTGGCTTTTCCTTATCTTACAATTCTGTCCTTCCTTCGGGGACAGCGCTCCCCAAGCATACACACTGCAAGTATAGTAATTGTTCAGTCTTGTTTCCTGTTCTCCTAATGATTAGAGGATTCTGGGTAGCCAAGTAGATATGGATAAGCTTCTTCTTATTCTGAAGATAAAAGTGTGGCTTTGTGGGGAGGGCTGGTATTTGTATCTTAACTAGTTTATTAAGAAAGTCGGGGGCTGTACTTTTATTACATATGTTCTGTATATGTGTATCATAAATGATTAGTGTAATATGTTACATTTCCAAATAACTATTTGTATAATTATACACACAATGGACATTATTGGTTAAAGGGTCATTATAGGGTCAGGAACACAAACATGTATTCCTGACCCTATAGTGTTAAAACCACCATCTACTCCCCCTGGGACCCTCATGCCTCCATAAATATAGCAAAATCTTGTATTCAAGCCTGAAGCTGTAGATCTGCATGCTGTTTGTCTCAGAAAAAACAAGCTGTCTGCTGACATCATCAGAAGTGGTAGCCTGATCCAGTGCTTCCCCATAGGATTGGCTGAGACTGACAAGGAGACAGATCAGGGGCAGAGCCAGCACAATTCAAACACAGCCCTGGCCAATCAGCATCTCCTCATATAGCTGAATTGAATCAATGAATCTCTATGAGGAAAGTTCAGTGTCTGCATGCAGAGGGAGGAGACACTGAATGTTTGGATGCATTTTAGGCAGCCATGACCCAGGAAGGATCTCTAACAGCTATCAGAGGATTGGCCAGTGAAGTTATCAGTAGGCTGTAATGTAAACACTGCATTTTCTCTGAAAAGACAGTGTTTACAGCAAAAAGCCTGAAGGTAGTGATTCTACTCACCAGAACAAATTTAATAAGCTGTAGTTGTTCTGGTGACTATAGTGTCCCTTTAAGTAAATCATTCCCATGCCTTGTGTTAAATATTGTATAAAAGATATTTAAAGAGAATATGAATAGAGAAAGACTTGTACGTACTGTTGTTTTGACCTTCGTAGCATGTCCACCTCATTCCGCTGCCGTACCAGGTCATTGAGTATAGCCAGACGTTTCTTCTCAGCGGCAACCTGTAACTGATGTCTGTACACCTCCTCCTCACGTTTCCTCTTCTCCACTAACTTCTCGTTGTTCATATCATTTCTGCCAAACACTGGTTCCTTTGTATCCGGTTGAGGTGACAGTGTGAAATAAGGCTTTATTTTCACCTGTGTTAACAATTAAGAAAAATGAAGTTGCATTAGAAATTTGTCAACAGGAACAGACATGTGCACTGTACTGGGAATTGTGGGGAACTGAAAAGGAGTTTTTTTAATTTTAGAAATTTAATGTTTTCATTTCAGAGCACAAAAGTGAAAATTGTATGGAATTCTAATTGATTTTCATATTTAAGGCCAAAGTAGCTGAACTGAAAGCAGAACTGACTGAAAGACTTTCTGCAAGTCGCCTATTATGGCCTTAAAGTTGAAATAAAGTTTAAAGGCTTTCTGCAGCTTCACAAACAAGAAAAAAAGGTCCACGATGCTAGCTGGGAAATGAGATTCTCTATGCCAGGCGTGCCCAAAAGGTAGATTCCCAGATGTTGTAAAACTACAACTCCCAGGATGCTTTGCATGCCTTTAGAGTACTTTAAAATGACAAAGCATCATGGAAGCTGTAGTTCTACAACATTATTATTATTTTATTATTTATATAGCGCCAACAAATTCCGTAGCGCTGTACAATGGATGGACTAACAGACACATAATTGAGATCAGACCACTGACGTATAGGAACAGAGGGGGTTGAGGGCCCTGCTCGATGAGCTTACATGCTAGAGGGAGTGGGGTATAGTGACACAAAGGGTTAAAGTAGGGGAATTAAATAGTTTGTTACAGAAGGGTTTATTGAGTGCTTGGTAGGTCATTTTTGACAGGTGCAGGAACGGAGTCATGGGGTGGGGGATGAGAAACCTGCTGACAGTTTAATTGATACGCTTTAATGAAGAAGTGAGTTTTCAAAGATTTTTTGAAGGAGTGGAGGCTGGGTGAAAGTCTGATTGAGGAGGGAAGGGAGTTCCACAGAATAGGTGCAGCCCTGGAGAAGTCTTGAAGGCGAGCATCAGAGGTGGGGATCCGGGCATAGGATAGCGGCCCGATCCTCCTTCTCCTATAGAGCACCGCAATTGTGGAACGACCTCCGGCACAATTTAAAATCTTCGATAAGCCTAAAGTCATTTAAGAGATCCCTCTCTACATACCTCAAAACAGAATGCAGCTGTCATGGTTGATTATATATTTCCTGCCTGTTCTATGTTAAATTTTGTATATATTGTGTATTAATATTGTTTTTGTATTTTGGTGTATCCTAATGTAACAATGCAATGATATGTGGACCCAGGACAACATCTGGGGATCTACCTTTTGGGCACCCCTGCTCTATGCAAAAGAGGCAAGTTATAAAAATGCTGTTATATTATTAAAATATTTTAATATATTTAAAATATTAGTATTGTTATTAATGGAAAGTGAAAATCTCATTATTTTATTGCTCTGTGACAATTTCAATAAGAAAGTAGCAAAAATAGCCCTTTTAAAAAAAATAAAATAAAGGTAAACATAAATGGTTTTCTACCTTGTATTTATTCAAAGTAGCGAGTTACCTGATTGTCCAGTGCATTTTTATAACACTGCGTTTGTTCGTGTTTTTCTTTTATATATTTGGCTCTCTGAGTTGCTAACCTTAAAGAAAAAATGGGAAAGAGACGTCACATTTAAGATAAAGAGATCATGCAATCTTACAAAGCTCACAATTGTTTCCAGAGTGCAAATCTCAGTTGAGATCCAAACATTGCGTGTTTATCCTGTTTTTCCAATAAAACTGCTGCATAAGTGATCCCGAGTGCCTGGATTACATTTATTGTTTTACCATTGGAGCAGGGTTAGCCAGCCCCAGGCCTGGATGCACCTGGACCAAATAATAATGTGGATTCCTCCTTGGTTTGTGTATTATCTAGGAAGCAGCAGATAAGCTTGGTCTACTGGTGTTTTTATAGACTTGGCTGTGGCACAAATGCCTCTGCAACGTGTTCCTGGAGGAGCCTGCTGGCCAGCCTCCTACCCAAGTACTATGTGCCATCTATAAAGACATATAAAAAGACTGTGTTCATGTGGTTCCCCTGTACTGTTAATGAACCGAACAAACTCAGGATCTAAAGACCACCCGGGATGCTTGTTAAACCCTACTGACATCTTGTAACGATTCTCACCGCAGTGTTCTAATTGTTCGTCTGGGTGGCTGCTGTTCGTATGCACGAACACGTGGTGACGGCCATCTTGTTCGCATGAACGCAGGCAATGGTGTTTAGTCGTTGCATGGAACTAAAATCGGACACTCGACCTCACGAACACAGCTGAACTTCCATCCCCGCCTGCGTTCGGTTCTTTCCATCTTAGAAGAGCACTGTTTGGGTCGTATGGACGAGGGGAACAAGCTCCACTTTTCAACTATAGACTACGTTAGGTAGTTTATTCGTTTTTATACTAACGAAATGGACCAACCGCTATCACTTTTCTCATGGAACTATTTTGGGGAGAAGCCATGTGTGCGGTCGGTCAAAAAGTGACATCCATGGAAAACCTGAACCCCTGAACTGATCTAAGTGATTTTTGGATATGTTGGTCACTCAGACTGGGGCTATCCGAGGATGTAACTTTTGTGGGGTTTCCATGGATTTTAGGGGGTACTTTTGGGGTGTTTGTAAATTGAATGTTTTTCTGAACCTGGAGATAATAGAGTTTGTACAGTTCCTGACTCAATTATCTCTCAGGCACAGGGGAGGAGTTTGTGACTTGTATTAATTCTGTAACTGTGCTGCCATTAAACAGATGACTACTGAGTGACAAACATATCCAAAAATCACTCAGATCTGTTCAATGTTTTCCATGGAAGTCACTTTTTGACCGACCGCACACGTGGCTTCTCCCCAAAATAGTTCCATGAGAAAAGTAGTAGCGGTCGGTCAATTTCGGTAGTATAAAAACAAACTGTTGAACGTAGTCTATAGTTGAAACATGGAGCTTGTTCCCCTCATCCATATGAACGATTCTACCGAACAGTGATCTTCTAGGATGGAAAGAACCGAACGCAGGCGGGGATGGAAGCTCAGCGGTGTTTGCGAGGTTGAATGTCCGATTTTAGCCTGCATTCGTGTGAACAAGATGGCCACCACCACGTGTTCGTCCACACGAACGGCAGCCACCCAGATGTACAATTAGAACACTGCGGTGAGAATCGTTACAAGGTGTCAATAGGGTTTAACAAGGATCCCGGGTGCTCTTTAGTTCGTGAGTTTGTTCAGTTTCTGAACAGTACAGGGGAACCACACGAACACAGTCTTTTTACATGGCCCATAGTCCTTAAGCAGGAGGCTAGCCAGCAGGCTCATCCAGGAACACATGGCAGAGGCATGTTTGCCACATTGGCTATTCAGTAACATAGTATGAAATGGGAGTAGTGTACCGAAAAGAGAACACTGGGATGAGTGGCAGATAGTATATGGGATAACTCCAGGTAAAGAGAAATCTCAGAACTTCTCACGTCCCCCCCACAACCTCAGGAGAACATGAGAGCACAGTATTTACACCCACATAACACCCAGGGCAAATTATATAGTTCTGGACGTCAGCCACACATATTCTCCTAGGCAGAGCAAATATGTTTATTATTCCATAAGTTTAGCATGTAATCAGGGCCGGTGCAAGGATTTTTGCCGCCCTAGGCAAAAGGAAAATTTGCCGCACCCCCCTCCCCCCCATATGTCCTGCCCACCATGTGACATCACAATGCTCTGCCATATGGGCCAACGCCAGTCTTCACAAAGTGTATTTTATCTGAAAAGATAGTGTGTTTGCATTAAAAAGCCTACAGGCACAGGCTATAGACAACAGAACCACTACATTATGCTGTAGTGCTTCTGGTGACTATAGTATCCATTTAATGTGAGGTAAATTAGAGATTAGTGCCAATAATAATATATTGGATTGCCTACTTACCACCAGATGAGGACAAGAGGCTGATAATGGGCTCTGTCTGGCTCCACAGGTCTGGTGTAGAAGAGGCTCTCACTGTTTTTAACAGTGCTCACAACAATTAACGAACAGGAAGCAGCTCCATTTTTTAGGGCCCCTTACACAGCTCAAGGTCTGGGCCCCCAGGGCTGGACCGTGGGTATGCCTACAATGCCCACCCATAAATCCACCTACATGGGCAACCCATGAGTTCTCTCACAGGAAGTGGAGTGTATGTGTGCAGGGGATGTTTTATGTGTTATTGTAGAGGATGCAATGTGTGTGTGTTCTTATAGAATGTAGTGTATAGGGATACCAATTTCTGTAAGAGATGTAGTGTGTTTATAGGGGATGCAGTGTGTGTTTGCGTGTAAGGAATGCATTTTATGTTTCTGGGTGTGTGTGTGTAAGGGGTGCAAGGTGTGTTTCTGTGTATTTAATTGAATGCAGTGTGTGTCTGTAAGGGGTGCATTGATTGTGTAAGAGATGCATTTTGTTTCTGTGTGTAAGAGAATGAGTGTTTGTGTGAACGTAAGGGATGCATTGTGTGTTTAGGGTGTGTCTGTGTGTGAGTAGGAATGCATTGTATGTTTCTGTGTGTGTGTGTGGGGGGGATGCATTGTGTATGTGTGTAGTGTAAAAGAGAGGGTTTGTGGGGTAGGATAGAGACTGAGAGGGGAGCAGCTCTTTTTTTACAAGCCTCAGGCAGCGCAGCACTGCTGTGGAGGGCGGCCGGATTTGAGCGACCGGCTGGAGGGAAGCGCAGAGCGCTCCCTCCTGCCGGTCTCTCAATGTAGCATGGCCGGTGAGCACTTCCTGTCAGTCCGCCGGCAGCAGGGTACAGGAAACAGAGGTTCCTGCCCCGCGTTCCGCGCCGCCCGGCCACGCTACATTGAGAGACCGGCAGGAGGGGAGCGCTCTGCGCTTCCCTCCTGCCGGTCGCTCAAATCCGGCCGCCCTCCACAGCAGTGCTGCGCCGCCTGAGGCTTGTAAAAGCACTCAGGCGGCGCAGCATAAGGAGCTGCCAGGCGCAGGGATCCGGCGCCCCCTGCTAAGGTGCGCCCTAGGCGGCTGCCTAGGTCACCTTACAGGTAGCGCCACCCAGCATGTAATGTGTAGATGTGCCAGCATACTATTGTAGCTTAACCTATGTCGGCACAGGCACTTCAAACACCTGGCCACCGATAGCATCAGGTTGTTTCACACTACAGATCTTAGTATCCTAATGCTAGCATGAATATACATTCACTCACTCCCTGCACAAAATCTACTTGGTACCAGTTGCGACCTTCAAGACCAGGCAGGGCTGTTGCGATAAAAAATCTAAAGCTCAAACGTGTACAATACATCTCTTAACAAAAATGTGCTTTTCTCTATTATGTAATGACAAAGTTGAAATGTGTGTCTATGTTGACCTGCTCTGTTTCATGACAAGGCAGACTATTTTGTAATTCCCTGCACAAAAAATAAAGAATGGGGGCGGGGCCTGGCGGCCAAGATGGCAGGACCCGCCTGATCAAAGCTCCGACATTGCCGGCCATAAAAATCGCCTAAACGGCAATCTCTCTGCCGAAAACAACCCTCTGAGACCCAGGGGCCGGTCTGCTTCCGAGTGGACACACAGTGATACCCAAATCCTGTAGCTGCCCCCAACGGAACAGCGGATAGGCCTTGCAGGCAAAGCTGAAGCGCGACGCACGCTGATATCGCGGGAGAGACTGCCGCTCTCCCTCGGCCACGGTGCGCAGCAATCCTCGGCATGGGACCCCGTCCCCCCCCCTATGGACCGGCGGGGGTCATCCCGGTCCCCCCACAGACAACAAAGCGGGCCTCAGCTGTATTACCACGACGCACCTCACCTAACCAAGCACAGCCTGGAGGCCAGATTCAAGCAGGTACTCACCTACATACAGTAATAGGGAACATAGACGACAAGTGAGAGACACGAGGCCAGGCTAAAATGGCGGTCGGCTCAGATACCCGCACGAAGCGACTGACCCCCAGCGAGTGGGCAAATGCCTTTCAAGCAAGATTTGAGGCCATATGCAGGCGATTCTGGGCAAGCCTGGAGGCCAGACACCAGCCCCGAAAGCCACCAACGGGCAGCACTACAGCTAACTCACCCACAGCATGACAGCCAGACAGTGCTTCTCACCCTAAAGGGCAACAGATCAGGGCACAGCTGAAGGTGCCCCAACTGGGCAAGGTACGCAACAAACCTCAACAGCACCAAACAACCAGTCAACCTGGGACTAGAGCCACACAGGGGGCGACCCCTACACGCCACCCACGCCGGCGAAGGAGAATAAAGCACCAGACATATACATTGCCTGTTTAGCAAGCACACCAGTGCGGTTGCCATGCATTTTTTTTTTTTTACCCCGTTAAACATAACGTGCCCAAGCATTCACATCCTAAAGCCTCTTTTCACACTCTGGGCAGGACAATTTTGCTTCCTGTGGGCCCACCCAAGTTTATATATTATTACTTGATGTTACAGCATATAAATATTGTTTAGCGTATGAGTGACTTCCAGCATATAAGGAGTGTTTAGCATATCAACCATCTTAACAGGCTAAATGTCAGGAATGCAGGGATCTGCATTTAATAATGATCTATCTTCACCTTGAGCAGTACAGTACCTAGCTAATTTGTCTGGGTTTGGGGCTACGCATTTGACTAAATATTTAACTACTGAACTAACCTACACAACCTTACGCAATCTCGCTGCATAGGCTTTGTTTTATTCTTACTGATTTGCTTCCTGTTAGCTAGCCTAGTACAGTTCTTGATAACCCTCATACAAAAATGTGCATCTATTTTCTATGCCACAACTGTTATACTCTGTCAATTTCAATGCATGTTACTGCTGTTGGGGCATGACATGAATGCTTGTTCAATTAATCTATGCACGAAAAAATAAAGAATTTAAAAAAAAAAAATTATAATAATAATTCTTGGTTCAGTGCTCTGTATACTTACGATGCATACCCCAACTTCAGTGTCACACCGTGACCTCTCATTGAATGTCGAGCTGCACACAAATCTTACACCGGAAAAATGTGTTGACTTTCATCAATATAATTTCATGTCTCATGTTTCGGGGCATGTATGGCACTGTATATTGCGTCATGTTGCTTATTTTCTATTTCTTACTTTACTTTCACTTGTTCTGTTAATTCATGATATTATTTGGTTTATACAATTCACAATGTACAACAATAACTGTCACATACTCTTCATTGTGATCCTCTCACTCATTATCGTTTATTCGGACACATCTTCAAAATAAAGAATACAAAATAAATAAATTTAAAAAAAGAATTTAAAAAAAAATAAAAAAAATAAATATATATATACATATATATATATTTAATCACTATCAGAATTAAAAATTACCAAGTGTGCTGTATACAAACAAATAAGTGAGAAAACCCAAACGTGAAGGGAAGTAAAACCAAATTATAATACCACGAAAACGCGTAGAAACAAATCAAATGATGTCTAACGTATTTAGTTTAGTTGTATAAATATACAGATAAGCGCACGTCTGCGCTCTGAATAGTAAGGAAGATATAGCTAGGGATGAATGCACATTCAGTAACATAGGACTTTTCAATTGTTGCACAATTTTACCATCATCTAAGAGGGCTTTGAGGCTCTCAATGCTACAAATAATTTTATTAGCAGAGAATGCACTATAACTCAAGAAATGGAGAAATAGCACTCAAGGCTCTAGTAGTGGTTATGGTGCTTAAAGTGTCCCTCTATATGTAAAGCAAACCTTTAAAATGTAAAGGGATACACTAAGCACCAAAATGACTTTAGCATAAAGAAGCAGTTTTAGTGTATAGAACGGATCATGAACCTGCAGTCTCACTGCTCAATTCTTTGTCATTTAGGAGTTAAATCACTATTAATTCTCTTTTTGCAGCCATAATAGCTCCCCTGGCTGTAACTCACACAGCCAGAATAAAACCAGGTTTCATTTTCAGATCTTACAGCAAAGTTTTTATATCCTGTTCTGTTATTTGAACTTTAATTGCACAAAGGAGGCTCTTGTAAGCTTTAGTATTTAGAACTGAGCAGTGAGACTGCAGGGGCATGAGCTACACACCAAAACCACTCTGTTAAGTTTAAGTTGTTTTGGTACTTAGAGTATCCCTTTGAGAATATTAAAGATGGTTAGATACAGCAGAAATTGACTTATAGTCAGTGAAGATGGAACGAATTTAAATTGGTTTGGTCTGCTATTTTTGTACTTTGCTTTTTCATTTTAGAAATTGAAAGTTTGACATTTTAGAACCTTATAGTCAAGTTACTTATCTAATAATAAAGCTGAATAGGAGGATTACCTTTTGTCCCTTTCAGAAACACTACTTGCCCCAAGCAATTTATTGAATCGTATATATATGAATACACGAGACGATGTATGTACACGAGCAATGTCCCTGATTAAGAAACACATGGAGTAAAAGGATCAGCAATGTCCAGAGCTCACCGCTATCATTGCCATCCAAGATGGAACAACTTTGGGGGAGATATGACTCTCGGAAGGCTAATCAAATACTTAGCCAAAGTGTGCATGTGTAGGGCCAAAGTGTGCATGTGTAGGCAGATGGCTTTTAAAATAACTCCGACATCCACTAGGTTACCTTCGAGGCAAGCTGTCAAACCCTCCTTTATCTCCCTCCACTTTGTATCTTCTTGTCTATCCTATTTCTAGCTCAGCCATTTTACAACTAAGACTGAGTTGCAGCTACAAATTACCATGTTAACAGTCATGTCTTTGAAGCCACTACTACAAATAATCATAATGTTTAGGGCAGATATCAGCCGACCTTCCCAGTGTTTGAAGGCCATTCACAAATATAACCTGAGTGCTGAATGTTGACAACACTCTATATGCCTCACTACTGAAGAATACATCTCCCATCCATCTATAACCTGTCAACTGATTAAAAAGGATAGGTACCTTTAATATGTTAGTTAGAATAGTTTTTGTTGTTTGTTTTTTAAATAAAGCAGTACACAAAAATGGCATTAGTGAAGCAGATCTTGATTTAGCTCACTGCCATAAGAATTCAGACTAGAATTTCCCATAGAAACACAGTTCATTTCCTCACTACTCTGGTGCCCTCCATCACTGGTTCCTGGAAGTGACCAACAGTCAGTGGAAAATCTCATTGCGCCTATGTTTTTCACTCCCTGCCTTCTGATCGGTGAGTATATAAGTGAATTTATATAGGAGATGTGTTAGCGGTGTGGAAGCTTGTCAGACAAGTTTCAGCCGTTTTGAGAAAAGAGAAGAACAGTCAATATGTGGAAACTCCATGTACACAGATATCAGTGGGTTTGTTTCATGCTTTCATGAATAAAAAGTAGGCTTTGACTTTATCTGAATGAACATATCATTTAGTGTTCCAAAATTATATCCTTAAATGACTTGCAGAGAAAATAAGAAACGTACACAAAAGAACTACTGACCCTACGGGTTGCTGGTGCCTCAGGGTTACCTGTTCACTAAAAATAACAAAGTACAAAGCTTCTGGAAGTAAAAAGGATCACAGCTGAAAAGTGCCTCACTGAATATTACAAAGCTGGCTTCCAGGGGTCTTCTAAATATGACAAAAATACCAGATTGTGTGAAGTGTATAAGCACTTTGCAGGACAGGCCCTCTGTGGCCAGGAATGCTCAAACTGGCCAAACAAAAGGTGCAGCGTTGTGAAAAGAGCCCTATCATTAATACACAGTGGTGCATGACTGTGATGGAGCAACAGTACGAATTAAGGGTCACAAGATTACTTACTCTTCTGCAAGTTGGACTTGTTCCAGTCTGCCCAACAATTCCTTGTCCTGTTTGCCTCTGACCTCTTTTTCTCTCTTCTCTGCCATCTGTTTTGTTAAGGAATGGTGGCATTGTTCTCTTTTAAGACAAGCTGGAGGGGTCAATGGCCTCTTCTGAAAAATGTAGGATGCCTGAAAGTGGAAAGATCTTTAATTGTACTATAGAAGAAAAGGAGCTTAAATTAAAAATGATGGGGTTCGTTCTCTAAACAGCAAGATGACACAAGACTTGCAGAATGTAGGCTAACGCAGCAGAGATGGGAACAGATTCCAATACAGTGCGTTTTGTTATATATTTTGCAGAAAAAGTATTAACGCTCTTTAATTTACTGTTTAATATGTATATCCTTCAAATAACAAAATAACAAATGCATGTTCTCCTTCTTTGTTTGTTTTCAATACTTTGTCTGCCCAGTGAATTAGTTTGCGTAAAATTACTGGTTTGTCATTTGGGGGATGACAGAATTTTTTTTTTTTTTAACTGCACCCCCTTGCAAAATAGAATTTTCTCTGATCTGCCTCAATTTTGGAACTGGGTCCCTAAACTGGATAGACTCTTACGCACCCAATGCCCGGCAATTTTTTAGGACACCTCAGCCACAATGTATTCCTTGCCCACAACCCCATTCTCCCTATTTAAGGAACAAAGCCTTTCTATCCACATTGTGAGCAAGGAATTGAAAATACAGGAATGCAAATGGCAATAAAAGTATTCAGATCATTTTAAAGAGAGAGAAAGCCCCATTACCTACTGGAAACTATTTTTTTTTTGCACTATTTTTTTATTTATTCAATTATGATCTTTATTTTCATATTTTTTATATAATTAACATATACAAAAAGACAAACAAGGATTATTATAAGATGAATATTATACGTGGTTAAACTGTCAATCTAAAAGAAGATCATAATATAGCCTTAGAATAACAACATATATATATATATCATACATCCTAGACGTAGAAAAATTCAGAACTGGGTGCTCCGAAGGATGGCGCGGGAAGGTGAGAGAAAGGAGGGAGATTAAAATGTACTTCTTTCTCTTCTCTCTCCACTGCTCCCACTACAAGTTATACAAATAGATATATATCTAAATACAAAGTTGGTGGGGAAGTAGTGTCAAATCTTACAGCATATTTCTAAGAGGTGTTTAAATCGAAATAGTGCCCAGGGGTTCCAAATTTTTTCATACATTTTCAAGTTATCTATAAGATTATTATAAGGTCATTATTATACGTGATTAAACTGTCAATCTAAAAGAAGATAATCATTTATATGCAGATGACACACAAATCTACCTGTCCTCTCCCTACATAATGCTGCTCCAACCTACCTATCCTCCCTAATACACAAGTATGTCCTGTCGAGGCCCCTGTGCTCTGCCGAAGACCTATGTCTATCCTCTGTCCGTACTCCCACATCTGATGTTCGCCTCCAAACATCAGATGTGCACCTTTTCTGTCTCCACTCCTTCAAAAAAAATCTTTGAAAACACACTTCTTCAGGAAAGCATTTCATTTAAACTGTTAATGGATTTTCCTTCCCCCTCCCCCTCCAAAATTACTCCTCTCCTGCAACTGTCAAAAATAACCTTCTAAGTTCCCAGTGAATACTTTTCTAGCAATCCATTACATTACCCCTAATTATACCGTTTGTGTGACTATACCCCCCTCCCTCTAGCATCTAAGCTCATTGAGCAGGGCCCTCCACCCCCTCTGTTCTTGTGCGTCCATTTGTCTGGTTACAATTACGTGTCTGTTAGTCCACCCATTGTACAGCGCTACGAAATTTTGCAGGCGCTATATAAATAATAACATAGTAATAATAATTACAGAGATCAAATTTCGTATTTTATGTCCTCCTGATCTTTTATTGATAAAACCCATTTGGTTATGATGTATCAAAATGGTAATTGCTGATTTTAAGCTTTCAGATAATATTTTTGAGTAAATCTTTATGTCTTTATTTATTAAGGAGATCTGACGATAATTTGAAACAAAATGTGGATCTTTTCCTGGTTTTATTATAGGAGATATTGTTGCCTTAAGCATTTCTGCTGGAAAACCTTTTATATTTTGAATACCATTAAACATATTTAATAAAATGGGAGAAAAAAGCGGTTCTAGCGTCTTAAAAAAAATTGACAAGTAATCATCCGGCCCTGGTACTTTATGAGCTTTCAAATTGTAGATTGCCCATCTAATTTCTTCTAGTTCCATTGGTCTATTCAACTTATCAACTTGTCCTTGGTTTAAAGGACCACTATAGTGCCAGGAAAACATACTCGTTTTCCTGGCACTATAGTGCCCTGAGGGTGCCCCCACCCTCAGGGTCCCACTCCCGCCCGGCTCTGGGGAGAGAAAAGGGGTTAAACTTACCTTTATTCCAGTGCTGGGCGGGGAGCTCTCCTCCTCCGATCCTCCCATACGGCTGAATGCGCACGCGCGGCAAGAGCTGCGCGCGCATTCAGCCGGTCTCATAGGAAAGCATTTACAATGCTTTCCTATGGACGCTTGCGTGTTCTCACTGTGATTTTCACAGTGAGAATCACGCAAGCGCCTCTAGCGGCTGTCAATGAGACAGCCACTAGAGGATTTGGAGGATGGATTAACCCATTTATAAACATAGCAGTTTCTCTGAAACAGCTATGTTTATAAAAAAATGGGTTAATCCTAGAGGGACCTGGCACCCAGACCACTTCATTAAGCTGAAGTGGTCTGGGTGCCTAGAGTGGTCCTTTAATTTTGGCAGAGAAATTTATTCAGGTATTCCACAATTTTTTCTTTAGGTTGTTGATTATTTGAGAGATTATATAAGGATTTATAGTACGCTGCAAAAACATGGACAATTACCATCCATAATTGTACTTATTCTTTTATTATTCTTAATACGTTTAAGTCTATACATAATGTTTTGCCTGTTTTATTGTCTTGAAGATACCAAACCTGTTTTAATCTACTTAAAGCTATAGGTGATTTTATTTCTAATTTCGTTTTTCATTTCCATGTGAATATCGGAAACTATTTTAGATACTTGCAGCTACGAGACCAAGAAAATACAGAAAATCTGCTGCGACCCATACCCTCACCTTTTTTGAAAGCTTACAAGTCACTGACACTCCACAGAAATGGACTAATAACTGCTATATATGCTCACCTATGTGAGTCATATCAAGATTGCGGCAAGCTTGGGCATATTGCACAATGAGAAACATATCTACAGCAGACACTGAAAGCAAGTGATAAGAAAGAAATTTGTGAAGCAGCTTTGAAGTCATCCATATGCATAACACTTTAGCAGCAGTCCTTTAAAACATTATTTCTGTGGTATACCACCCTATAAAACAGTTCCGTATGGGTAAAACCACCTCAAATGTCTGCTGGAGTGGTGTTAACGGGAACCTATGTCTACATGTTGTGGACCTCTCCCAAGGTGATTAAATATTGGGAGATGGTTAAATATTTACTGGTAGAGATCTTCCATAAGACCCTTCTTATTAGTGAAACAAGTTGAGGGCTTTACATCGCACATGCAAAAATTATATAATAAAATTACCCTAGCTGCAAAGAAGGCACTGGCACCGGTGTGGCTGGTTATAGATATTCTCAAGAAAGACAAAGTTGTACTTAGAATTTCCTGATGGAGAGGCTCACAGTTCAGGTTCGCAACACAATGGTAGCTTTCAATGAAGTGTGGTAACCATAAGAAGAATACAGTGGATGAGAGGCTGTTGGTGGTATGAGTGAGTGACTAATAGGTTCGCTAATATTATTATTATTATTGGTATTTATATAGTGCCAGCTTATTCCGCAGCGCTTTACAATGGTATGACGCAACACTCATGGAGGAGACCTCTCCCCTGCTCTCTTTTTATTTTTACTTTGTTTACTTCTTTGTTGTTATAAATACAGTGTGTTTATTTGTTTATCTTTGAAACCTCAGAGGAAGGAAGATTAAGTTGCACAAAAGACTTTATCACAATTCCATTGTATTGTTTTGATTTTGACATGATTGGCTTTCTGCAATAGGATTACTGACATTATACTGTGTGTATGCTGTTTATTATTATTATTATTATTGCCATTTTTATAGCGCCAAGAGATTCCGTAGCGCTTTACAATATTATGAGAGGGGGATTAAACTATAAATAGGACAATTACAAAAAAACTTACGGGAACAATAGGGGAAAGAGGACCCTGCTCAATAGAGCTTACAGTCTATAGGAGGTGGGGTGTAAAACACATTAGGACAGGAATTTGCAGTCAAATGGGAACCTTACATAAAGAATAATCATTTTGTGAATTGACTGCTGATATAAATATTCCACGTTCAGTGGGACAGTTTCAGTCAACATATTCAGTTCCTCAGAAAGCAAAAGAAAAGACCTGAACATAAAATTAGTAATTCAGACCCCGGTGTCTGCTTCCTTCATGCAAAATATTGGAGCTAAAACTAATTTGAAGTCAGAGCTTCTTCAGAAATCCTCCTGTGATCAATGGGTAGGAAACATATGCTATATGCAAGTTATCTTGTAGATAGATTGCAGCCTACACTCAGATTTTTTATTGCCAATACCAACAAACTGGAATGATTTTCGTTTAAATATAAAATTAGAACTTTGAAAGGTAACGATAAAATGTTGTGTTCGTCATACATTTCCATATTTGTTGGTAGATCGCTTTAAGCAAACAAAGAGATTTGCAAACAAGAGTGTGTATTCTTCCTGGAAATCCCCCAATCCCCATTAGTCAACAATTAAATGTGCAACGGATTAAACAGATCAGATTCAATTGTAAACTAAAAACAGTAGCTTCTTACGTAAAATTCTGTATTCTTTTGATTCTTTTCATTCCTTATTGCATCAGCTACTCCCAGGTTATATGCAGCATCTTTCTGGCTCTGTTCCTTGTTCATCAGTGAAGCTAGCTGTAACAAAGTCAGATACATTAACAAACAAGGGGTATGAAGGGGTGCCATGAAGCCAAGTGTTAGCTAAACACAAATTTTGAGTGGAATTAGGTTAGTGTTTATAAGGGCAGAGTTGAGCTATGACAACATCCAAGCCGTATTGGTCTAATCTAGGCCAGTCATGGTAAACCTATGGCATGCATACCACATGAGGCACACAGATGCCTCTCTGCTGGCACACGAGCCAGAGGTTTGCCACATCATGGGTATTCTGGTTGACGGCACTGCCATAAGGCGGCACAGGCAGGGTGACACAGTGTCTGTATGCTGTTGTCCCCATCACATTTGGCAATATATTAAATTAAAAAAGGATTTCCTGATGGTCAGGAGGTGGAGAGCATTGAATGCACTTCCGCCTTTCAGTTCTCCATCCTGTGCTCTGAATTCCTCACTGAACGCAAGACCAGTAGAAGTGATTAACATAGTCTTCACTAGGCGGGGGTATAGACCACGCACTCCACCACCATAACACCAGGGAATTGTTATTAACCCCAACTGGACTACCAGGGAAGAAAGCCTCCTCCCTGCATAAAAAAGTTAAGTAGGATTGGGCAAACCATTTTTCTATTTTATTTTATTAATGCAGTTAAATAAATGTAAACATGTAGCACACTGTTTCATGTTTAATTGCATTGTAGGCACTTTGAGATAAATAAGTTGATTTCCATTCCATTTGCACTCGGGCTAAAAGAAGTTTGCCATCACTGGTCTAAGGTATGTGTATGTATCTGATCTCCTACAAATGATCCCATATATTTCTCCTAAAGTTGTTCTGCTACACCACAAATCCCTCTCATTGTCACAGTTCAAGCTCCCCCACCCCTTCCAATCACTAAATAAATCCCACCAAGTACCTCATACCCCTAAGCTGTGGACAGCAGAATCCCCTTTTACACAAGAACTGGTTTACTTAACTACAGAAAATAAGGATCATAAAATAAAATTATTCACACATTCAACAGCAGCCGTGTACAAAACATGGCTCTACTGCATTCCATGCTACAGCTGCTCAGAGGTCAGCCTGTAGCGTTCGGAGAGCAAATCTCAGAAATGGAATTTGCATCTGCTGATAGAGTGCAGTTCTATCCTGTAGACCAGACTAGAGTTGTACAGGTTTAATAAACTATGATCACATTAAGGAAAAGTAGATTTAAAGAAAGAAACCAACAAACAGTACGTGTTGAAAAACCTTCACCAAACCTTGTAATCTAAACGGAGGGTCAACCAACAGGTGCAGTTAAAGGCAAAAAATCTGAGACATATATATATTACCAGGAATCTTAGTATGTTAGTCGAGAGAGTTAACGCTCCTGCACCTAGAGCATGAAATGCATTAGGTAGACCTTCTCTCTCTATATTGTCTATCTCAGCCTGAACTGGTAAGCAATTTTACAGGTAGCTGACTTACTGTGATCAGCTCTCTGGAGTCATGTTTGTTGAGGAAATTAATAATTTAGTTATTAGGGGGGTGGGTTAATAAAAGGATGTTTAGTATCCCTACACCTGTGCCAATATCGGGGCCCTGGTTTCTGAAGGAGATGAATCATAGGGTTGAGCAATACTACTTTGTAGTCTAGGATAAAAAAAAAAAAAAGACAACACTGTTGATGATGGAGTAAATTAAGAGTTTGTCTAATATTTTAACAGTGAGATGGACTCAAGCGATATCCTTGAAATTTAAGAGTGGGCTGCCTTTATGTACAAAGTTATATTAGTTGGGAATATTGTAATGTGCTTATGTTAAAGGAACACTATAGAGTCAGGAACACAAACATTCCCCTTAATATAGTAAAATATTACTTTTATTCCAGTCTGCTGCTACTGGCTCTGCTCCTGATCTGCCTGCTTGGCTGACATCATCAAAAGTGTTGATCAATGCCAATCACAATGGTTTCCCATAGGAAAGCGTTGGATTGGCTGAGACTGCCAAGAAGGATGATCAGGGGCAGAGCCACCACAAGCCAAACACAGCCCTGGCCAATCAGCATCTCCTCATAGAGATGAATTGAATAAATGCATCTCTATGAAGAAAGTTCAGTATCTCCATGCAGAGGGTGGAGACGAGACACTGAATGGCAGTCACGCTGTGCAGCACTGCCCCAGGAAGAACCTCTAGTAGCCATCTGAGGAGTGGCCAGTGGAGGTATCCCTAGGCTGCAATGTAAAGACTGCATTTTCTCTGAAAAGGCTGTGTTTACTGCAAAAAGCCTGAAGGAAATTATTCTACCCAGCAGAACAAATACAATAATCTGTAGTTGTTCTGGTGACTAGTGTCCCTTAAAGCAAGAATTATGAAGGAAGAGAGGTTAAAGTTTAGTTATCTGTAGGTGAAGATAGCATAAATACTGTAATGTTAGACATGAGTAAGGATGGGAAAAAAAAAAATCACAAGAGGTAAATTAAGGTGCCATCAGAATATAGATGGTCTTGGTAAACAATGTTACAGTTGCATGAGAAGAAAAGTAGATGCAGAGACGTAGAAGACCAGACTGATCTGGACGACAGGGAGAGTGGCAAGGAACATGATGCAATACCATCGAAGGAGACATAGAAGAAAGGCATGGGTGTCAGGATCAAACAATGCATAATTTGACATGATAGGAAGCTTGTTTAACAGTATCACGTACATACATGCTTATTGTACGTTTCTTGAAATTTCAGCAAAGCATAAGATTCGGTACCATGCGGCAAGAAAAGCATTTTGTATGAGGTATGTGCAATGATCCTAAAGATCGCCATGTTTAATTTGGCAGATTCCATCTTAACCACAGCATCCAACTGGCAACTGTAAGCCTATATTAAATCCTCATTAATACAGATTTAGTTCACTATTACATGGTAATTAGCATGCATTGGCTTCCCAGATATATTTTAGTTATATGTGCCATAAATGTCAATTGAACAGAAATGCCATTTGTGCCAGAAACAGGCTTTTGTCTGTTGATACCGTTTATGCAGACGACATTTAACATACAGCTGTAAAGCCAGATCACAGTGAGGACAAAATGCTAATCCCAGGACTAGTCTTAACATATGGATATTTCTCTGGAGAGACATAAAGTACCTGAGCCCTGTTGTGGGCCTCTTGGTCCCTCATATGCTGGTACTGCAGCAGTATCCGCTCTTCCTCCTGCTCTCTCAGTTTTCTCTCCTCCGTAAGGTACACAGGGATGTTATTCTGGGCTCGTTGCATGCATAGGTAACAGAGCTCCTAGCAGGAAACACATGGTTACAGGGTCAGCAATCTAGTACAGTATAGGGCAAGTATACATCTAGGCGAAGGATCCTGAGCCAGACAGCCATAGAAAGCATCCAAATTTCACACCTTTAGCTAAGTAACATATAGCACCAGATACCCTTCTCTTTATAATATTCTATTTAGAAATCCCCATACATAAACATTTATGCACGCCTTAGCCTCATATATTTACTTCTTAGCCCCCTTTTTTTACCTATGTGGAAGGGAGCCTGATGTAAGAGCACGGTGATTTCTTATGGTCTAAAGCATAAGGAGCATTTATTTTTAGAAATAAGGTTTTTGTTTTTTTGTTTGTTTTTTTAAATATGTACGTAAATTAATCTACTTTTTAAAAAAAAAATTATATTCTACTTTTTTCTATGGGTCTGTAAGGTGCTGTGTGTGTGAAGGGTGGTGTGTGTGTGTGTGTGTGTTTGTGAGAGGTGCAGTGTGTGTGAGGGGGCAGTGTATGTGAAGGGTGCAGTGTGTGGGTGAGGGGTCAGTGTGTGTGAAAAGGGTGCTGTTTGTGAGGGGTGCTGTATCTGTGTGAAGGGTGCTGTGTGTGTTTGTGTGTGTGTGTGATAGGTGCTGTGCATGTGTGAGAGTTGCTGTGCATGTGTAAAGTGTGCTCTGCGTGTGTGAAGGGGCAGTGCCTGTGTGAAGGGGCACTGGGTGTGAAGGGGGGCTGTGGGTGTGTGAGGGGGCAGTGGGTGTGTGAGGGGGGCAATGCATGTGTGAGGGGTGGAGTGTGTATGAGGCAGGGAGTCTGTATGTGTGTGAGGGGGGACAGTCAGTGTGTGTGTGTGTGTGTGTGGGGGGTGTAGTGTGTGTTTGTGTGTGAAGGGTGCATAGGGTCTATGCTGTGTGCAGGTGGGTGAGATGTGAAAATATATTTTAATGTTTCCCCCTCCCTTCTTCTTACCTTTTACCAGAGAGGGGGGGCATAATGTTGCAATCCCTGGTGGTCTAGTGGTGACATGTTCACTTTAGCCTGCAGCTACTCTGGTTGCGGGCTGACTCTCCTGTCCTCCTGCGAGCACTGTATCGGAGCGTTGCCATGCTAACGCGCGGCAACGCTCCGATCAGCCAGTTCGCGGGAGGAACACAGAGCCTCCCAGGTCCTTCCCTCCCTCTGCTGGAACTAAGGGCCAGCGGGCTGGTGAAGATCTCCTCATCAGTCCGAGAAGGCTTACAGCAAGGCTGGCTCTGCAGGGGCCGGCATTGGAAATTAAAGGATCTGCCGGCCTTGGTCCAAGGCCATCGAGGCCCACTGAACGTTTTCTGCAGAATGCACCACCGCCCACCTGAAATCCAAAACCGTAGGGACCAGGTTGACTACACCTGGTCTAAAGTATTGTAACACTGAGAGCACCTTTTGCCAGCCCCAATGAATACAATTTGGCACAGTACTGCAATCATTGCTGCAGCTGTTGAATAAGTAGTAGAGGAGAGGTATCTGCCCATAGCACTAGCCATGAGTATGAATGTTAGTACTGAAGGTGGATCATTTTTGTGGATATTTTCTATGACGGTCAGCCAGCCTTCAGTCTATAAACATCTGCAATGCATTAGAGAATTCACTTTTAAAATGGCAACATGAATCTTGGCTGATTGTAGTGCCATTTAGAGTACTGAAATCCATTACAGAGCAGGGTACACTGCTGTCCCTGATGCTGTAATGATGGGGATACATTAGTGCATTACACTGGAGGTTTAGGTGGATTCCTAAATTTAGAGTTAGGAGGTATCTGCCTTTAAGATACTATGGACTATAACTCATATTACAGTCAATCAGGCCTTGACCAATGCTAACAAGTTCCCCATAAACTTCCATAATTCCTACCCCAACCCCCCAACTTTAGATCTACCTTAGTGGGGTCATTTTCTATGGTGATTTGATGATCATTTAGCTCCACATATGTGTCATTATTACATTAGTTCTATGAATGGCTGAGATGTAGACATTGGGAGAAAGTCATCAATAAGTTTTTCTGAGACTTTAAGGCGTCAAATGAACCTTCATCAACTGTTAATTATATTAACAAATAACTGAATATTATGGCAGAGTCCCATCATTTGGTTTTCAACAATTTTCTAACTTAAGATGACATAGTGCCATCTCATGGTTATGTGTTAAAACTGCTGTCTGACAACTAGGAACTACAATGTACAAATCTAATTCTAATGAGAGATTTAATTAAATCTAATTTTAATGTTAGATTTAATTAGAAGGTCAACAGCATTTGTCTCTTTTACTTAATCAGCAAACATTAAAGAGGTTTTTCTTATGCTGAGGCAATCACTGGAGGTAGAGGTACCTCCCAGTCAGTGTCTTGCATTGAAAATATTGTTAAAAAAGCACATTATCTGACAGAGGATGCTGCCATCTCCTCATGGTGCCACATACATTCATTCATTCATGGACATCTTCTTCGAATAAAGTCACAGCATGAACTGCAGACATGATCTTCCCATCATTCCCTGTTTATGCACATGTATGTTCGAGTCATGCACAGGGGATCATGGGACACTATCTGTTCCAGTTCTTGATGTCCACAGTCAGATGTGCTTTGTTGAACTTAATAACAAAGTAACTATGCCAATTCCCATTATTAGTCTTTCTTATTATCAAAGATCTGCAATGAGATTTAATGGAGTAAGCTACAGAAGACCGGACTAGACTAGATGTTAGAATGAATATTATATTGGCATTGCAAAGCATAAGTGGTAGGCTTTATACATTCATTTGAACAGTCAGAGCAGGTCTGCTGCTCTTTGGCATTTCAATTGTCCCATATTGCAGCAAGGAGGACATTTGGCCAGGGCCCGACCCCCAATTTTAACAAATTTTTCATTTCACATCCCAGAGGGTGGAAGTAGAAAGCAACAGGGCACTGGTGTATTTGTTTTATCTAATTTTCATTAAGTAGCAACATTTAGATGAATTAAATTGATTTAATAATGCAATAAGGGTTGTCTTAATTGGTTTTTAATTTCAGACAAACCAAATGTTTTCCTCCGGCACAAGTCTTGAAATATATTAACTCTCTGCTCCGGTTGCTTCGAACCTCACTATCCTAAAGCAATTATCAAAATTAACTGTGTTCATCTTCAGGTATGGATCACTTTGTGAAAAACGTAACATACAAAAAAGGCTTAAAAATAGCATTGGTGCTTTGTGATATAACAAAGAAAGACAGGTCCACCCTCCAGTCAGTTTTTTTGTGTAAGGAGTTTCTTCAATAGAAGTGGCTGTTCCAATATCCACTGTGAGTCATATGCAAGCATTTTAATTTGTGTTCTCCAATAAAATAGGTGGACTGGGTGTTTAAATTTAATTTAAAGGAACAGTCTGAGCACCATATCAACCTCATCAAAATAAAGTTGTTATGCTACCAGGATGACCCTGGCTTATCTTTAGAAACCCAAAGTCTTCTGCTCTGCCCCCTGTCCTTACACTTTCAGGCAGCATCGGGCAAGTATGCCACTGATTACGTACTTTTCACAAGCTGTATTTATAAATGGGGAGCTATTGATTGGCTTACAATATCAGCTTGCCTGTCTAAGTGAGTCAGCGGCACCCCTGTCCAATGCTGCCTGAGCCTTCTGAATTTTAGAATGTAGAAGGACAAGGGGCAGAGCAGAATGGCTCTGGAGTACAGACACTGTGGATAAATTGATTGTGTCTAACACCTAAAGATAAGCCAGTGCCAGGCACCTTCTAGCACCCTCATAACAATTTCAATAAAGTTGTTTGGTGCCCAGAGTATGAAATGATCTCTTTTTAACCCTGCAATGTAAAATAATGCATATTTTTAGAAACTGCTAAAGTTTATATTGCAGGGTGAAATCCACCTTTAGTGGCTGTCCTAAATTTATCCTAAAGGAACAGTTTGGCCCCATAGCAACTTAGTTGGAAAAAGGTAAGTAAAACCTGTATTTTATTAATTTTTGTGACACACGGGAGGGGGACCTGTATAGAACTAGGGACAGATGCTCTATAAGCTCCCAGCTGGTATGGCTACTTTGGGAAGTGCATTTGATGGATAGAAGATACAAGATATTTAAGAAAAAGTAAATGCTTGTACAGAAAGGTACACAGAACAAAGAAGCTGAATTGCAATAACAGTATTTTCTTTGTACTTGGCCTGCTCGACAGTGGTCTATGCATCCAGATGTCATTGGTCTTATCTGATGTTTATCAGTTTGGGTGTCACATGCTTCCACTTCAGTTTTTGAAAGCTTGGCAGATAATGATGATCCCAGCCTAGGGGAATGAGAGGCAGGATAAAAGTTAAATTATAGAGAACATGCAACAAATAAATGGACTATGAAATATACCAAATGTTTCAGAACAAGTTTTCTCCACCTCCAAAGCAGCACTTTCTTTATATTTTTATGGAAAAGGAGGCCAATAGTAGTAATGTATATTCTTGAAACTTCCTGAGAAACTGAGAATCATGTACCAAATCTAGATTGATTTAATAAGGGGCCTTCTGACATTCACCCTCTCTACAGGATAAACTTGAGAGTCCCTGTTTGGCAGTTTTTGAATGAAACCCCCAAAAAAAGTAAACATTAAATGTGTTATTTTGAATGGCGAGAAACGTGATACAATCTGTTCGCCCAAGTCAGCTGTTTCATATAATGCAGCACAAAAACAATGATTGTCCTGATCCACTAACGAGACAAGCCGGACACCCATACAAGGTTCGTTGCAGCAAAGATTGCTGGGAGTTGTAGTTCAGTTAACAGCTGTCATAAGTAAAAATGCTGATAATTTAACTACAACTTCCATAAATTTCTGCTCTTTTCCTAAAATGTATGAGATAAAGTCATAACTTTGAAGAGTCCCATAGAAAAGTATAAGGTCAACCTGATTGGCTGGTCACTTCTGTCAGGGAAAAGACCTGAATAATATACTTCAAGGTTTCCAGATTAGAGAATATCCCGCGCTCGGGATATCAGACATGCAGACATGCAGACACAGGTTGTCAGTGTAAGTTGGTTTCTACAGTTTAATGGGAGAGCAAAGGTTTTTATGCAAAAACAGAACACTGTCTACGTAATTAATAACTGGTGATCGAGAGCATAATGTAACAGCTAGCATATTCTTCTTATCTATGAGTATGGGAGCATTGCGGTCACAGTGTTCTTAAAGGGACACTCCAGGCACCCAGACCACTTTTGCCCATTGAAGTGGTCTGGGTGCCAACTCCCACTACCCTTAACCCTTTAAGTGTAATTATTGCAGTTTTCATAAACTGCAATAATTACCTTGCAGGGTTAACTCCTCCTCTAGTGGCTGTCAAACACTTCAGACAGCCACTAGAGGGACTTCCGTGTTCTTAGAACACGAAAAGTGTGTTATACGATGCTGGACGTCCTCACGCTATGTGAGGACCTCCAGCGTCGCCGAAATCCCCATAGGAAAGCATGCGCATTAGGTCTCCCCCGTCGGCTGACATCGGGGGGGGGGAGGAGAGGAGAGTAGGTGGAGCCTGACCCAGCGCCGAGGGACTCCAGTTAGTCACTGAAGGGGTTTTAACCCCTTAAGCAACTTGGGATGGGGGGTGGGAGTTAGAGGGGTACTACAGGGTCCTGCAGTGCCAGGAAAACTAATATGTTTTCCTGGCACTGGAGAATCCCTTTAAACACAAGACACTTGGTACATAACAATTCCACGAAAAGTATGTTAAAAGTATATTCCACGAATAATGAATTGCAGTTTAGCTAAAAGTTCTAAAACTATATACAGTGATCATCAAAAAATATATATGTTTCAGTAAGTAGTCCTTTACAACTCCCCTCTGTTTGTTCAAAGGCTGAGGAAGTTATCCAGGGTATTTCCAGACATGCTACTCGAGGCTGTGGGACTTTAGTTAGATCTTCACCACGGTGCCCCTGGATTGCCTCAGTCCATGAACAATAACAAAACCTTTTTGAAGGCAGGAAACAGGGAAAAGATATATGGGATGATATGTGACAGAGGTAGCCACTTTACTGGGGAAATTATGCAATAAATAATGCAAGCCTTAGGAGTAAGCCAGGCTTTTCACATGCCCTACCAGTACCAGAGTAGTGGTAAGTGCTGATGGAACTTTGAAAAATAAAATAGCTAAAGCTATGCAAGAGTCGGGAAAACCCTGGATTGAGTGTCTGCCCTTAGCTTTATTCTCTATGAGATTCACACATCACCGAAGAAAAGGGTTATACCCTTTTGAGGTTCTGTTTAGATGTGCACCCAAGACAGGTCTATACTTCCCTCAAACACTTCAGATGCAACATAGCAACATGACCACCTATGTCCAAGCCCTCCACTGTAGGTTAGGTAGGATACATAAACAAGTGTTTGACTCTATTCCAGATCCGGAAAACAGTGAATACACCCACAATCTGCAGCCTGGAGACTGGATGGTGATCAGGAGGCATGTCAGGAAAAGCCTGGAACCCAGTTCTGATGGTTCTTTCCAGGTTCTGTTGACTATCTCCTCCTCTGTGAAGCTAGAGGGGAAACCAACGTGGATCCACGCAAGCCACTGCAACCCATCTCCAAATCATGATGCTGCCACACATATCCTTTTTGATACTATTGGTCACCCAGACTGAGGGTGGCCTATGATCATAACCATCTAACATATGGATTTATATGGCTAGTGCGTTTAACATTTCCTCCTTTTGCTTAAGCACAATCCTTATTACTGCTGATTTTATATCCTCTTGTTTAATTGCTGTACCTACCCATATAAGTATTTTAAAACACATATTTAGCATTAAGGATAACGATGCGGAAGTAGAAAATAGTCATGTTACTCAGACCATACCAGTATATGCATATTTTGCAAGTCAGCTCGAGACGAAAGGTATTGGCATTAACATGATTACTGTGATGACCCTCAATATTACTACAGCTGAGGTTTGTTATAATGACATGTGACCCAACTAATATCCCCAAATGCAGACAAATCACATTAAATGCAAATACTATAGATGAGACGTACACCAAATCAAATCAGTTGACAATATGAAGATATGTAACAACACTATCTTACAGCCCAGCCACACTAACTTGTTTGACCATGCGGGACCCATACATCAGCACATTGGTGACCTAAGAAAGATAGCATCTGACCTAACCCAAAACTCTGGATTCGTTGAGGAATGGGATTGGACCTTTAGGTTGGGTACCTGGTTGGGTCTGTTGGGTAGGAAAATATTGAGCGGAGCTATTGTGATTATTTTTATTCTAATTACTATATATATATGTTGTAGTTTCTTGTTTCGGATGCTTTGTTTCTGAAATCACTACGAATACTAGAAAACCTGTTCGATATCGCTGGTACTTTTTGTGATGTCTTCCTTCGCACTTCCTTTTTTGGCGGTGCTAACTGACAGTATATGTAAAGCGTGGACATCTATTGCAGAAACTGGAACTTAAAACAAAAATAAAGATACTCCTATTTAATTTTCATTCATTCTTTTTCATTTTCTATACGATTTTCTAGCCTGCAGTGATTCCAAGAAATATTAATGCGAAATTAAGCCAATGTACATACTAGCTAGTGAAGGAGGTGCTGAACTGGCCAACCAAGTCAGTCTCTGTGGGGGTATTTTCAGCCAAACATTTTAGTGTGGGATTAAACAGTGCATCACCCTAGTACTCAATGCCAAATTATGTTGTGCTAATGTGCCAAGTTTCTATTTGGATTGTGAATTATTTATTAATTAAATGGATTGGAGGAGATTCCATGTTTGCAATCAAAGTGTAAAAGCACAAACACTTTATGAGGATTTAAACCGGTCATAAAGGCAATATTAGAGTCAACAAGTAGTCAAATGTTTAATTTCCACAAGAGGCACGGTGATTGGTTGATATGAGTTAGTCCAAATTTATTGTAGGAAGGCAATTCAGGTATGCAGGCAGCCAAGACTGCACATCACCTCTGTTTTGTCCCACCTTTATCCTCTCTCTTGTTTTGAGCAAACACAACCTAATGCTTTCAGTAAAATCACAAAGGGGATGTTTGTTATTTAATCATTTTGGAATCAATGCTCCACCAAGATGATTCATGTTGTAGTTCAGTTCTAACTGTAAATTTATCAAATAAAAATATGTCACATTTTTTTAAGTTGTATTCTTTCATGTTTTAGTGACTCCTGTCACATACCATGAATACAGGAAAAATGGCATGTATACAATATCAAAAGGTATAAGGAATAGAATGCTATGAACAATAACGGGTCAGTATACACGTGTCAAATTATATATTGCAGGAACATAAAGTAAGGTGTTTCAATGAGTGTTCCATCACGTGATAATATCAGGACCAAAAGAAAAAAATAGAAGTATCGAAACAAAAAGGAGATATGAGCAAAAACATTGGTATGAGAATGTGCTACAAGAAGCTAAATATCTGCTTGAAATCTCGTAGACATTGTGTTTATGACTATCAATTTGTCCATTAGACAGGTATCTTATCTTTTGTACCACTGCTTCCATGGGAGGTGGGATAGGTTTCAGCCAGGCTTGGGTTAATGCTCGCCTAGTGGCAAGGGTCGATTTATGGAGGAGTTTTTATTCTATTTTTGTCCAGTTGTCTAGTGACCCAGATAATAGAATACTCATGGGTCCACTTCAACCTGCCTCTGAAAGACATTGGACAATAGGTATCTGACTTTGTTCCAGAACGTTTGAACTTCTGAGCACCTCAACCACATGTGGATGTACATACCCCTTTGACCACACCCCCACCAACACAAATCATCTGGTACTTTATGCATATGAAAGAGTTTGACAGGTATATTATACCAATAGAACATGGTCTTATAAGACTGTTCCTGCAAAGAAACACAAATAGACGAAGCGTTTCCTGCCACTCAATGCTTTCCAGGGTCTCCCCTAAGGGACATTCCCAGTGATCGGTGTAATGTAGTCTACCCCATTCCTTGGTGTTGGAGCTCAAGTGCGCATAATCAGGAACTTTGGAAAAGGACTCACAAAGACACAACCTCACAGAAAATTTCACCTGTGTCAGTGCAGCATCCCTAACAAATCTTTCTTGCGCAAAGTCTTTAATCTGAAGGTAGCAAAAAAAAATATCAGCGGGCTTTAGTGGTGCTCTATGCTGTAAATCCCAAAAAGATATGAAGTTTTCACCCTTGTATAAGTGAGTGGCCCATTGTAGTCCTGTGCGTTCTATCCCCTGGAAATCATGTGCTCTCATTCCAAAGTCAGCACTTTTTAAGGGGCCTTCTGTTATAGTCCAAGTAGACATAAAGCCAGCCAATCATAATGTAGCATTGAGTGAACCACCAAGAGAAGCGAACTACTCGAACTTTTCATTAGTTTTCTTGGTCACTGCTCCACTTTTAGAATGTTACCATAAAATTTCTTGCATAGTCCATTGACATTTTAGTTAGAAACTTACAAAATGTTTATGGCCAAAGGACCTTACACATATTGTAATGTTATTATGCATCAATATGATGAGGATGCCAGAGACCTTCACTATATAAAAGTTACATTTCTTTGGGGGTAGTTGCTTTAGCTCATCCTCTCAGATGAGTGCGAGAGCACACTGGGCTACCAGAGGTAACCAGATTACTGAGTAAATTATAGATGTTAATAATGGTTTTGTTCAGAATGAAAACAAGTAAAATGAGCATGAGATAGAGCATTCATTTGTTCCGCAATGTAAATACACAACAGTAAAGTCTGGCCATAATGTGACTTGGCTTACATTTCACTGAGTAATAAAGGTTTATCGCTGCCTTGACACAAAACTCTATTGCATGCTTAATCTTTCTTAATTGAATTCTCTTTATACACCTTTCAGCATCTCACTGACAGACGATACTTTTGAGTAAAGCTCATATAGCTGCTGAAATATTTAAAACCATTAGGAGAACATTTTGTCAGCTAGAATTAATTGTTTATGAGTCATGCAAGAATGAAGACTCAAGGCATCTCTTAATAAGTAAGGGCATCGCTTGTTCTCAAAGGTTAAATGAGCTGGAACACAAAGATATGAAGAATACTGACAAATGCCCCGCATTCAGATAGAAGTCACTTTATGTATAATGTTACTGAAGGAAAACAAAAAACGTTCCCTTACAAGCGACACACTGGGGTTTATTCACCGAGCTCTGCATTGTAGTGAACGGAAAACCAGTAAGCACGCTTGGTTGTTTGGGAGTTTTGCCTATTCGGTTTCCAGTGTTAAGTGTAAAAACAATAAACAAAAATAAATATCAATATGGTGAAAGGTTTGTGAACACCTGTTTAATATACAATTTAAAAGAAAACAGAATGTCACATATATAAAAGGTTAACAAAAGTTATAGGTGATTTTTAATGTTTTATCCAATGGTGTGATTTCCAGAGAAGCTGCATTTCTGCTTTAATTTGGAATTGTTGGACTAAAATTTGCAGTATTTAAAATGAACCTCTCATGACAGGTTCATTTGAAGCCCCTTAGGCAAAGAACATACACCGTATGGACAAATGTAGTGGGACACCTGACCAGTACACCAACAGAGATTTTTATGACATCATTCTAAATACATAGATGTTAACATGTAGTTGGTTCCCACATTGAAGCTATAACAGCTTCCACTCTTCGGGGAAGGCTTTCCACTGGAGATGTTAATTTTGGAGTGTTCCCCACAAATTATTCCAGTAAAGCATTTGTGAGCTCAGGCAGTGATGTTGGATGAGAAGGCCTGACTCGCACTCTCCATTCTAGTTCATCCCAAAGGTGTTTGATGGGGTTAAGGTCAGGTCTGTGTGCGGGCCAGTCAAGTTCTTCCACACCAAACTAAGCCATCCATGTCTTTATGGACCATGTTTTGTGCACTGGGACACAGTCATGCAGGAATAGAAAAAGGGTCTTCCCCAAACTGTTCCCACAAAGTTGGAAGCAGAGCAATGCTGAAGTATTCAGATTTACCTTCACTGGAAGTAATATGCCTAGCAAAACCCCTAAAACACAACCCCATACCATTATCCCTCCTTCATCAAACTTTAATCTTGGCGCAATGCAGTCAGGCAAATAATGTTCTCCTGGCATCCGCCAAACCCAGACTCACCCATCAGGTTATTAAACAGAGAAGCATGATTTTTCACTCCACGTTTCCACTGTTCCAGAGTCCAGTGGTGGCATGCTTTACACCACTCGATCCGATGCTTGGCATTGTACTTGGTGATGTGAGGCTTGCACGCAGCTGCTTGGCCATGGAAACCCATTCAATGAAGCTCCCGTAGCACAGTTATAGTGATATTAATACCAATGGAACTCTTCAGTTATAGAATCAACAGAGCGTTGTTGACTTTTACAAACCATGCCACACTCCGTGACCACGATCTGTGACTTTATGTGGTCTTCCGTTTCGTGGCCGAGTGGCTTCTGTTCCTAAATGCTTCAACTTTCCATTGATACCACTTACAGTTGACAATCTAGCTGGGACAAACTGTCTTATTGCAATGGTGGCATCCTAACACAGTACCATGCTTGAATTCACTGAGCTCTTCAGAACAACCTATTTTTTTCACAAATGTTTGTAAAGGCAGATTGCATGGCTAGTTGATTAATTTATATTTGCACTTTTATCTTTGCGATTAATTTTAAACACCTGCGGCAATGAGTCTCATTTAAACACCTGAATTCCATAATAAAGAGGTGTATCCCAATACTTTTGTCCATATAGTGTATCATTGATCATAATGATCGCTAATATATATTAGTGTTTAATGTGATATTACCTCCTCTCCGGCACTGAGAATGCCCCCATCACACTACCTTTGCCGGTATTACATCTCTGTGGCATTGTGTGTTTGGGAGTGGCTACTAAATTACCTTCACTGAAAAAAGCTGCATAGTTTGTAAGAGCATCTATGTTTCAAGTTTCGCTGCAAGTCTCAATTTTACTGGGCTCTGTGGCTGTCCTTGCTCCCTGGGCTGAAAGGTACATTTGAATATAGAGGGGATATCAAATTTTGCTCTTAGTTTACAAGATGTGTGGCCCACAGACTATGAATTCCTACAGCCAATGTGACTCCCCAAATGCATGCCTCCAGGTGCTACTGCATAGCTTGAAGAAACTATTACTCATAGAATCACTTGCTTACCTTTCTGGTGCTGTCTTTGGCTTAATTATTCTCTCCAATTCCTCACTAAAGCTTATTCCAGTTAATTTGGCTGGCACAATGTGCGGTCGATTGAGCAAGCGTTTTGGAGTTGAAATTTCTGTGGATCAAAAAGGTGAAAAAGGATGGATGAAATTGCTATTTCTTTGCCATAGTATGCTTTGCTCTTAATATAGCTCTCTTCAAAGTCTTCATTTAGGAGAGGCATTTAAATATAAATACAGTGTACAAGTACGTAAGACACATAATATGCTTGTTGAATAAAACACTGAATACCTTCTTCTTACTGTGTTTATTATTGAGACATTATGTTTCTGTTGTATTAAGATCATTATTCTGCGCTAATAATTTTAATAAGCAAAGAATTAAAAAAGAAATAGAAGAAAGAGGAAAATAACAGAAAAAATAAGTATAAAAAAAAAAGTCTTTCACAATTAGCTGAAGAAAACCTGTTAGAGGTAAATTCTCTTGAGGGATCCCAAACTTTAGAAAATGCAGTTTGTGAATGTTTGACTTTCAAAGTCAGTTCATCCATGACCGCAATGGCTGCAATGACCCTCTGAGCTGCTAGTGTGATTTAATTCAAACGGTAATGGCTTGGAATTCCTTCAACTGGTCCAAAGAGAGAGATAAATCAGTCTTTTTAAGCCCTTTGTGACTAGGTCCCTTATGTTCCCTTATGTTCATCCAAAAATTATGTATTTTTGGGGAGTCCCACCACATGTATAAACATGTGCCTCCAAAGTCCAATGTCCGCAAGTTGCCAGCAGAGGTCTTTTGGATTTTTACCTATTCTATTTATATGCCATCTGAATAAAATTTTAAACATTTGTTCTTGAATAAGACACAGCTGAGAATTTTGTGGCTGCTTCCCAAATTACTTTGCAAATTACTTTGCATTCTCCACCTTCTATGGTCTCAGTGAAGTCTGTTTCCCATTCGTTAATGTATCTTAATGGTCATCATATGGAGGTTTCTTAACTTAGATGCATTTATAAAAGGGATATTAAGCCTTTCTTGTATATTCCTTCTTTACCCGTTTTCTTTTAGATCAGGTGAATGGCCATCTGCTTGTGCGTTATGCACCTGGGAAAGAGATGGTAGCATTATGCAGTATGGGAAGATCGCAGGCCAGCAGAGACACTGTTATGCTCTGGGCATTGTTCTGCTCGGAAACCATGGGTCCTGGCATTCACGTGGTTGTTACTTTGACATGTACCACAGAGACCATGTACACTCCTTCATGGCAATGGTGTTTCCTGGTGGCAGTGGCCTTCTTCACCAGGATAAAGCACCCTGCCACACTGCAAAAATTTAAATGGTTTGAGGAACATGAAAAAAAGTTCAAGGTGTTGCCTTGGCATCCAAATTCCTCAGATCTCAATCAGATTGAACATTTGTGGGGTGTGCTAGAACAAATGCGATCCTTGGAGGCTCCCACAACTCGCAACTTGGAGAACTTAAAGAATCTAATGTCAATGTCTTGGTGCCAGACACGTTCTGAGGTTTTGTGGAGTCCATGTCTCGATGCATCACCTTTGTTTCCCTGATGTTGAGGTGTTCATGATGGAATTCAGATTAACTCTCCATTCTATTCCTGAAGAGTTTGTAATTATTCTGACCCAGTGCTGCTGCTTGAAGGTTAGACCTTCTAGAAGGTACCATGATTTTATCCACCAATTTAAATATTTTAAAGTGTTTCTGATACTCTAGTGTCCCAGTCCAAGCCTTCTGGATCTCTGTTCAATTCCAGGCTGGCAGAATTTCTCACTGTAATGCTCTTACATGAGCTTTTGCCCACTTGACTGCAGAAATAGTGGATTTGAGAAGGCTTAGCAAACTGATAACTCGTCTTATGGAGCAGAATGTTTTGGGGTTTTTTATGTTTCTGATTGCTTTGTATATCCGTAATCTTTTTTTGTTGGCTGAAGAACCAAACATAGACTTGCAAAGTTAACCCCAGACCTAGAAATTAGATTTTTGCAGATGGATTTAGGTTTTACTTGTCATAGGAACAGAGTTCTGAATGGTAAGGCCCAACCCTAGTGCTCCATAAACCTTTGCAATCTTCCTCCTACTATTGATTTGGTGTCCGAATTTACAATGCTTTTCATGGATGGAAGATGCACTTTAGTCTTTAGGCGTGTAGTCTTAAGGCTTACGAAAGGACCATGTTCTATCCTCTTTGTAATGATAGCTTATTTGGAAACGCGAATAGAAACATTGTTCCATCTTGAACCCTCGTGTTGTAGTAGAGCTTTTTTTAGTCTGTCATTTCACAGAAAAATTAGTTACACTTGGGTAGCAACTTGAGCCATTCCCACCGCAGCACAGGACAACCTTTATGGAGAATAACTGACAGTACCGCAAGCGGGACAAGCAAGAACTGTTAAGTCCCTGGTTGTCCATCACTAGAATGAGCATCTCCCCTCTACTGCCACTGTATGCAATTTTAAACCTTACAAAGCTACTTAAAATCACCTATCTTAGCAAAAAATATGAGGATTTAGTTATGACTGCAAATATAGTAGCCATGTTCCAACAAACTCTTCTTGCTTTATTTATAAACAATCGATTCATACCACATTGCTAAATGAAATTTCTCACCTAGGTATATCTACAGCCCTCTCCATACCTGAAACGCAGTGCATTCAGACCACTTTTTTTAAATTTTTAATGTTGCAGCCTTATGCTACAATCACATCAAGCTACACTCATTACTCCATAACGACTAAGCAAAAATCAGATATTTGAAAACTGAAATATGACATTGACATAGGTATTCAGAGCCTTTGCTTTGACACTTGAAAGTTAGCCAATATGCATCCCATTTCTCTGAATCATCTTTGAGATGTTTCTTCGTATTGATTGGAGTCAATCTGTGGCAAATTAAATTGATTGGACATGATTTGGAAATGCACACACTTGTCTATATGAGTTCTCACAGCTCTAAATGCATATTAGAGCATGAGGTCATAAATGCATTGAAGGCTCCCAAGAACACAGTGGCCTCCACAATTCTTAAAGGACCACTATAGTGCCAGGAAAACATACTCTTTTTCCTGGCACTATAGTGCCCTGAGGGTGCCCCTACCCTCAGGGTCCCACTCCCGTGGCGCTAAAGGGGGAGGAAGGGGTTAATCCCTTACCTCTTTTCCAGCGCCGGGCTCCTTCGGCGCTGAGAACTCTCCTCCCTCTTCTGACGTCATCGGCTGAGTTTGCAAAAATAAAGTACCAAAAGGACTACCACACTGTGAGAAACAAGATTCTCTGGTCTTATGAAACAAAGATCGAACTGATTGGTTTTATTTCAAAGAGGCATGTCTGGAGGAAACAGGCATCGCTCATCACTTGAGCAATACCATCCCAATGGTGGTAGCATAATGCTTTGTATGTGGGGGGGGGGTTACTACAGCAGTGACTGTGAGACTGGTTAGGGTTGAGGTAAAACTGAACACAGCAAAATATAAATATAGCGACATCTTTAATGAAAACCTGGGCCAGAGTGCTCAGGACCTATGACAGAGCCAAAGGTTCATCTTCCAAAAGGAAAATGACCCTAAGCTCATTGTAGCGGAGGAGCAGGGGTTAATCCAAGGGCTCTCCGCTGGGAACAAAGAGTCAGCATACAAAATCACAGGAACACAGCATAATCCACCTCCCCAAGGACTAGACGACACATAGTCTGGGAGTCAACTGCCAGCTTTAATCACAGGTCTCTTTTTATGCATTTCTCCCATGCAAGGGAGGTAACTTTCATAATTCTTACAGTAGCCAATTGTAACCCGGTCACCTCCCCTCCTTCTCCTCCCCTTAGATTAACAGTTAAACCAATTAGTGCAGACACAGTTTTCCCCACTTTCTGGATGTCCCCTAAATACTGGGGTTACAAGGACAAATAAGGGGTCCCCTGGTAGGTCTGATCTGGGTGAGCAACATACTCGAAATTCACCCAGATCGGACCAGGGGTTCGGGAGTTACAGACAATTACAGTTTTGACCGACCGCAGGGACTCAGTATCCGAAAACAGTTCCATGAATTCCTGCGGTTGGTCTATTTCAGTGAATTAAAATTACCGAATGACATAGCCATCCATGCGATTGCCAGCCTTTGCACGAATCCCCTTGTTTAGGGGAATCTATCTACCGAACGCTGGGGCGTTCGTGTGTTTAATTCGTGCTGTCGGAGCATGCTGGAGGTCTCAGCGGTACTTGGTTAGCCAAATGCCCGGTATGAGTTCCAGGCGTTCGACAACCAAGTACCGCTGTTCGTGCGTAATATGGCCGCCGACACGTGTTCGGTATGCGAAATGGCGGCCACACATACAGGCACTTAATTCCCTCGCAACATTGTATCGATCCGTTAATTAGCAACACACGACCGCCCCGGGGTGGTCTTACGTTCGGTAGTTTGGGCAATTCGTCTAAAACAGCAATATACCAAGAAAGTCTATTCGGTGAGTTATTCCCTTGGTGAAAAGTCTTTCATTCGCACAGAATAGTCAGTTCTAGTGGCAGGGTTTGCCACACTCATAGCCAAGAGAAGGCGATGTGGCTTAGGGACAACTCTGTGAATGTCCTTGGTTGACCCAGCTAGAGCCTGAACTTAAGCCTAATAAAACATTTCTGGAGAGACCTAAAAATGTCTATCCACAAATGGTCCCCATCCAACCCGACAGAGCTTGAGAGGTTCTGCAGAGATGAATGGCAAAAACTAACTAAATGCAGATGTGCAAAGCTTGTTTCATTATACCTAAAAAGACTTGACACTGTAATTACTGCAAAGGTGCTTCAGCTAATAAGGGTCTGAATACTTATATCAATTAGATATTTCGGGGGTGAGGAGGGGATTTTTTAATATATTTGCAATGGTATAAAAAATCTACTTTTTGGATTGTCACTATGGGTTATTGAATGTAGATTAATCTGAAATATTTTAACAATTGGAGATGGCAGCATAAGGCAGCAACATAAAAAAAAAATCAAAATGAAGGCATCTGAATATTTTCTGAAAGCATTGTAAATCTACTTTATAGTTAATTGAATAGGTGCAACACCTCATAGTTTATATTTGAATAAGGGTGAAATACATTTATTCCAGACAGAGTCAATGTATGATGACACTACTGTCCAGATTTGACAAACCTCTTTTCCTTGTGAGATCTTCTTCTGCCTGACTCTCTTTGTCCATATATTCATTTGACGTTTGCCCTTCTGTGCAGTCTGCTTCAACATTTTCTTCTTCAATTGTTTCCATGATTGGAGCATTGTCCACCTCTTTCACCACAATCCTAAAATAGGAAATCAATGTGCATGCTTATGAATTTACATGGAAGAGTTGAATAAAGATGGAACACCTGTAAACGGTTTAAAAGTTTAGATTCAATGCAAGACACACACAAAATTTAGCCAGGGTTATGGATTTAACACTAGACGACAGGGGCAGGAGAAAGAACATAAAGGTAAGGGGAGTAACAGAGTCCATACCCCTAGAAGAATTGCCACACTTCATAAGAAGGCTGGTGGCATCACTACTGCCAGCAAGAGAAGCCAAGTACTTCTCCTTTGATGGGGCATACAGAATAGCCAAATCCCCTAGGCCCCTGAAACTGCACCACAAGACATAATCCTGAGGTGTCAAGCGATGTCCAACAAGTTAAGCCTGCTAGCGGCAATAAAAGGGAAGACACCATATAACTTTGAGAACTGTCAAATTTCCTTCTTCCAAGATCTTAGTAGAGCCACACTACAGTGGCGAAAAGCCATGCAACCCCTCACGCAGACCCTACAAAAATAAGGACTGACCTACAGATGGGCGAAACCGCACATACTGTCGGTCACCAAAAACGGAAAGTTCTATAAGGCCACAGACCCTGCAGACGCTCCCGCACTCTTGGCGGCACTGGACTTGCAACCTAACCCTACTCACGAACCGCCAAATACGCAACCCCGAATGGACACTGACTCGGACATGTCTTCACCCAACCCCGGAAGAGGCAGGAGGCCAAAGACCTGAACCAAATAACATGCCTGGCCATCTCATGTTGCAGTGGCACATACGTGACTTTCTTAGTTACAAAGTTTTGCAATTGTAACACTGCATCTTAACACTACAAGTTTCGCTTAATTCGCCTACTCTTACACACACTAATGCACAGTCACTCTGCTTTGCTGAAACACCCAAAGGACACACACAGCGCTCACACTATGCTCAGGAACTCTCTTCCCTCCCCCCCCATAGTTCCGAAGGTAAGGGGAGTAACAGAGTCCATGACCCCTAAACGAAGAATTGCAAGACACACTTCAGGGTAAGACGAGGGGCAGGAGAAAGAACATAAAGGTAAGGGGAGTAACAGAGTCCATACCCCTAGAAGAATTGCCACACTTCATAAGAAGGCTGGTGGCATCACTACTGCCAGCAAGAGAAGCCAAGTACTTCTCCTTTGATGGGGCATACAGAATAGCCAAATCCCCTAGGCCCCTGAAACTGCACCACAAGACATAATCCTGAGGTGTCTAGCGATGTCCAACAAGTTAAGCCTGCTAGCGGCAATAAAAGGGAAGACACCATATAACTTTGAGAACTGTCAAATTTCCTTCTTCCAAGATCTTAGTAGAGCCACACTACAGTGGCGAAAAGCCATGCAACCCCTCACGCAGACCCTACAAAAATAAGGACTGACCTACAGATGGGCGAAACCGCACATAATGTCGGTCACCAAAAACGGAAAGTTCTATAAGGCCACAGACCCTGCAGACGCTCCCGCACTCTTGGCGGCACTGGACTTGCAACCTAACCCTACTCACGAACCGCCAAATACGCAACCCCGAATGGACACTGACTCGGACATGTCTTCACCCAACCCCGGAAGAGGCAGGAGGCCAAAGACCTGAACCAAATAACATGCCTGGCCATCTCATGTTGCAGTGGCACATACGTGACTTTCTTAGTTACAAAGTTTTGCAATTGTAACACTGCATCTTAACACTACAAGTTTCGCTTAATTCGCCTACTCTTACACACACTAATGCACAGTCACTCTGCTTTGCTGAAACACCCAAAGGACACACACAGCGCTCACACTATGCTCAGGAACTCTCTTCCCTCCCCCCCCATAGTTCCGACACGCCAGGGAGAAAAAGACAAGGGGACAAGGGACCAAACACACAGATGAGGGACACACGATAGGACTTACACCACTAGTACTACCTCATAGAGATAGCGCACTCACTGGAGATGGAACCGAGATATCACCTGGAACCACAGCTCTGCCACCTAGTGGGGCCGACACAACAGAGACACCAACACCCTTCTACATACACCCGAGCGACCTAGACACCGCAAAGCTCACTGGCACGCAAACTCCGCAGCACCACTCATAGAGGGGGTTTATTAACCCATATATTGACCAACTCGCAACAACCCGACAGTCCACCACACTTCTAAAAATGTGCCACACGCTCACCAGACATAAACCACAAACATATGATGTTACATAAGATGTTTACACATGTATCAGACCAAAACGCAAAGAATGTATGTACATCGCATGCAAATCTGCACCAAAAATAAAGAATTTAAAAAAAATAAAAAAATACTCCAAGCATAGTGGTTATGATGCCAAAAGTGCCCTCCAAGTTCAAGTAGTCAAAGTGTTTGACAACAGACCTTGAGTCCACTGGGTGCCTGCTGCCACTCGCTTTCCAGCCAGATGTTCCAGCCAAAGCCCAGCAGTGCAGAGAGGCACCCATTGGCGGCAAGTGCTCAGATAACTCACTGCAGGGCTTAGCTCAAGCTTCGGGTTTAAGGGAGGAGGCAACTGGTGCCCAGCAGACCCCAGGTAAGTTATCAAACTGTTATTAAGTGGTTTGACTATTTACCCTGGAAGAGCGCCAGGGCAACCCTGGCACCATAACCACTACATCAGGCTCCAGAGGTTATTAGTTTGCTTACCTCTCACAAGTTTCTCTGCCACCAGATTACCAAAATCGAGGCTACACAAGATATGGCATGAGCTGACACAGCCAGAGAAGGCCCAACATAGCATAGCTGAACAAATGATGAAGCGAATGGAAGTGATATTCAAACGCTTTTGAGCAAAACTTAAAGCTCGTATAATGACTTTACCGACTCGGCATCAGGAGAGAGAGCGAAGAAGTGAGAGGTATTAGTCTGCCTACACTGAGGGCCGGTTGGGGAGTCACCCTGTTGCAACAACCACATAGGCGGAAGACCAACCACCGCCCGTGGCGGCAGACCACCAGGTGCTTCTCCAATATCTCGACAGGCTATAAGAGCACTCCAGACTATGGCTCAAATATGTGGGTCTTGAGGCCTAGGGCTTGAGTGACACCCTTCCTCACTCCTGTCTTGCCACATCTCTCAGCACCATCCTACATTCCCGAACCGGGACAAAAATACAAGCTTACACTGGACTTACTACCTTGACTATTGGCTGACACTGGACTTACTACCATGGATAAATAGACTGTTTAACTTAGGTGTTCATTTAAGGATAGTTGACACCACCTCGCATTTCTATGCCCTCCAATGCCCTTACTAATGTTGCTAAGTATGTACTCAAGTTCCATTCCCTGCAGCTCCAGCCCAACATTTAGCATGTTATTCGCAGTCAATACGTCTAGTATTTCTCATGATAGATTGAGACAGAATTAGACAAGAGATGTCTTTCTCATTCAGAATTTTTTTTTTATTCTTAATTTTTTTAGCGTTGAAATCTTAGCACATCACAAGTGTAAAGTGAAAATATCAATGCATTTATAAATTGTACAACAATCACGTCACAGTATTGACCTATTTTTACATTTATATTAACTGCAAAACCCTGCATGCCAAAGTATAAATAATTATAGCTGTGATTTAGGGGGACTGGTACAAGGCATTATGTACCTACGGCTTTACAAAGTAATGTGGTGACTGCGTGCTACGCATACTGCAAGTAAGTAAGTAAGCTGCGCTACTCCACCTAAACCCGTAATGTGAACTTAACATGTTCAAGTGACTTAAAAGAACTGAACAATTATATATTTGACAATGATATCAGTCGCCCTAGGCATCAGGTAGGGGAGTCAGTAGTCCCCAGTGCTGCTCTTCTGGGCACAAAGCGAGTAATTCTCTCCACCGTCCAAGATGGTCGTGCATCCTTTTTAACGGTTTCTGTTGGTAGACCTAGGGACTGGAGGAATGTTGGTGCCTCCGAAACGTTCAGCAGGAGATGCGTCTTGTCGTTCCTTTCCACCATCAGTCTGTGCGGGCCCCACTTGTATGGGATGAAATGCTCTTGTAGTAGTTATGTAACAGGTCGGAACGAGGGGTACTGTGGGAGAGCCTTTAACAGCGCCCATGATATCCCCTTGATCAGAGTCCCATACAAACTTGAGCAATATATCCGTAGGTGCGCCTTGGGGTGCTTTGGAGGCCTTTGGGAGACGTAAGCAGAAATCCATCCACAAGCTGTTTGGCCTGTTTTGGCAGCAGTAGTGTAGCAATAAGCCTCCTGCAGTAATGGGGTAACTCAGCGTTTGAGATGGCGTTGGGAACATTGCGTGCTTTAGCCCTGTCTTCTGTGTTAGCCAGTTGTGCTGTCAGGTCGTCACATTTCTTTTGTAATGAACCTAGAGCAGCATCTGTGGCAGATTGTGCCAGTTTGGTGCTTCCCATGTCTCCTTTCATTGCTTCCACTCTGCTCGTGAGTGTGGTAACTTCCTCCCGGACTAGTGCCATATCTGCCTGAAACATGGCTTTGATATCCTTCCTCAATGCTTGTATGTCTGTTTTAGTAGAGGGAGCAAAATCACCCTCCTCCAAAGATACCCGAGGCACGGAGCGTACCTAGGATGAAGTAGGAGGTAGATCATGGAGGCTGTTGTCATCCGACGATGGGGTAGGGTAGGCCCCAGCCGGCGCCATCTTGGAAGATGCAGGCTGCACAGTCGGATGCAGAAACGCTCCAATATCTCTGGAGCCTGATCATGGATCCGCTCGGTATTTTTTACTTTTCTTCCCCATGTGAGAAGGAGTCAAGGAGCCCCACTGGATCCTTGTAGGGAAGTTAGTGGCTGGAGGGAGCCGCGTTAATCAGGACAAGCTCTCTGAGCTGCACAGATACACGTCCAGCTTGTGCAGGTGCCGGCTCCACCCCTCTCATTCAGAATTTTATATGACTAGTACTATATTTTGATCTTGTATACCAACCTAACATATTCTGATTCAACGTTATTTTTTACATGTATCTTGCTCACATATCAAAAAGAAAAATTGTTTGTGGCTGAAAATTTCCACTTGCCAATAGTGACTGAAATTTAGCCTTGGTGAGTAGAAGAGTGTCTCAAATGAGTGTGCCATGGACCCTCTAGTGCACTGGTGAATAACTTCGATTAGTTGACCTATTACTATACAGGCATTTTCATTTAGCTTTGATAACTTACCTGGGAAATAAGAGGGCACTACTAGAACGTGGACACTGCAAGTCACTGTCTCGTCCTGACATCACTGAATCGCATGTGCCTGGTCTCTGTAAAACATTAATATCCAAATAAACTCTTCATCATAGCACCTTAATCAGCGCTAGAGCAATAATTACATCCTTTAAATTCAGAGCAAGTGTCTAAACATTGAATAAGTATATTGCAGAATAAAGGCAGTGTTTGAAATCTGTCCACACTGACCAATTGCTTTGTTGAAAAGAACAGTTACAATTTATTGCTGCCTGAATGTCTGGAGAAGACCAGGCTATGGATACCAGAGGAGCACCGTTTTTTGTCAAACTGCTCCAAAGTGGTTTGACTGATAACAGGGTGGCTGACACCCTGCATTGTATGCACTACAGTCAGGGCCGGTGCAATGATTTTTCGGTACATAGGCGAAGATGTATCTTTCCACCCCCCCCAAATAACATCTTCACCTATGTGCCTCTTAACCAGCCCCTCTCCCCGTCCATTAGTGGTCCCCTCCCTTGCCTGTCCCTTAGTGTTCTTCTAAGCTCTCCCCTCTTTTTCCTGTCCCTTGGTGTTTCTCTCCCCTCCCCTCCCCGTCCCTTGGTGCACCCTCCACCCCCTTAGTGGTCGCACTCCCCTTCCTGGTGTGCCTCCTACCTCTCTTGTAGCGTTGCCGAGTGGAGGATATCCCCTACAGGAGCTTCAATTTTCTGTACCTGGCCGGACTGACAGGAAGTGCTCTCTCAGTGAGCACCTCCGGTCAGTCTGGCCGGGTACAGGAAACAGAAACTCCTGTACTGCGTTCCACCACGCTACACTCAGTGGTGTATACACACTGACAGTCACACACATTCAATGACAAACACACAGACTCACTGATCTGACACACACTCATTCATTGACAGGCACACTGATACTCACACACAGACTCAATGACAAAGATACTCTCACTGATTTGACAGACACTGACAGACACACATACACTGCCACACTCATACACTCACATGCAGTACTCATACAAGCACTCACAGACACACTTACTCATGCACACACTCAGTCACTCACAGGCACACAGACACTCAGGCACACATACACTAACACACAGACACACACACACACACTCAATCACAGACAGTCACTCACAGACACACAGACACGCATACACACACTCACTAATTATTTTAATAAATAAACATTTTCCACCCAGCCTCCCTACCTGGAGAGCTGGTGTGGATGATGAATCATTCCCTGGGGTCCAGTCAGTGGTGTATCCTGGTTTTGTGCTGCCCTAGGCAGGACAAAACTCAGGCACCCCCCCCTCCCCACCGCGCCAGAGTAAATACACACACACACACACATATTCACTGACAGATCCGCATACACTCGCTAACAGAAACACACACACACTAACAGACACACACTCACTGACACACAAACTCACACTAACAGACACACACACACAGTCAGACACACACTCACTGACACACAGTCAGACACACACATACACACTCACTAGCACACACTCACTAGCACACACACTCACATTCACTGACAGATCCGCATACACTCGCTAACAGAAACACACACACACACACTGACACACACACACAGTCAGACACACACATACACACTAACAGACAAACAGTCAGACACACACACTAACAGACAAGCTGACACACACTCACTAGCAGACACACACACAAACTCACACACACTAACAAACACACATTAACAGACACACTCACTGACACACACACACTCACTAGCAGACACACACACAGTCAGACACACATACACACTAACACTCACTAGCAGACACACACACGCACTAACAGACTAACAGGCAAACACACACTCACTGACAGTCAGACACACACTGACACACACTCACTCACTAGCAGACACACACTCACAGTCAGACACACACACACACATTAACAGAAGCACACACTCACTCACATTAACACTTTATTTTTTTTTTTTATTCACTCCCCCCCCCACCTCCTTACCTCTGGGAGTGCTGGGGGGGGGAAGGGGTTCATTACCTCCCTGGTGGTCCAGTGGCTGCTGGGCGGGCGGCTGGCAAGGGAGCTCTTCAACTGAGCGGTCTGCTCAGCTCCCTCGCGCGCCGCAAAGTGAGGCTGGGAGCCGGAATATGACGTCATATTCCGGCTCCCGCGGTATCAGCAGACAGCGCGCGAGGGAGCAGAGCGTGGAGATTAGAGCTCCCTCGCCGCGTCTGATCACAGCACAGCCGCACGCCGCGCCGGGGATCCAAAAGGTGGCCTGGCAGGAGGGAGAGCTTCCCTCCTGCCGGTCACTGAAATATTGCGCCCCCAGAGCCGGTGCGCCCTAAGGCGGCCGCCTGTGCCGCCTTATGGACGCGCCGGCCCTGACTACAGTAAACTGTATATGGTGCTAAGAGCGCCCCTTTCATGTCAGAGGCACACAATTTGCAAGTGAGATTTTATGAAAGAAAATGAACTAGTCTACCTCTCAGAGATACTAAAACATGAATATCAATAGATTTCTCATTTTACAGCAACTTGAGACTTGAAATGCCATATATTTTCGTAGCTACAAATCAGCTTCAAGAGTGATCTGCACACACCGGGAGGATTCATTTACTGAAGTGAGATATTCAAAGTGAATTTACAATTTAAAAAAGCTGAACTGGGAAAATTCTTAGTCAATTCTAAGTCAGCTATGCTTCTAGTTAGGCTATTGTGGCCTTATTTCAAATTCACGTTGTTAAATTACCGTGTGAGTGTTTTCAACTGTACTAGCCATACACTGCACTGATTTACTAGCTGTCAATGTATGTACAGTTTTAATCAAAATTATTCAACCCTCATTGAAAATCAAGTTTATTATGAAAATTTACAGACTTTCAGCTGTTCGCAATGAACAAATCGAGCAAAAGCAATTGAAATATTTTAACACAACGAATGCTTCCAGTGGTTTCCTCAAATACAACTTTTAATAACTACGCTAGTCTCAAAATTATTAAACCCCTTCATGGCAACCATCTAGTACTTAGAAGAGCACCCTTTTGCTGTCATGACCTGCTGGAAACAGGAAGCATAGCCAGAGACCAGCTTTTCCAGGACTACTTCTTCAACCAAATGTTGGTGGAATTAGAGGTATGCTCTGGGTCATTGTCTTGTTGGAAAGTCCAATGGTGACCAAGCTTCAGCTTCTTTAACAATGGCATAATGTTTTCTCTTAGGATTTCCTGATACTTCAACAAATCCATCTTGCCTTCCACAAGTGCAGGTTTTGAGTTCCAGAGTATGTAAAGCAGCCCCAGAGTATCACCAAGCCACCACCATACTTATCTGTACACAGAGTGTTCTTTTTAGCATATTCTTCATTCTTCTTCCTCCAGACATACCACTGATCCATTAGGCCAAAAAGTTCCAGTTTTGTTTTATCGCTGCACAGAAAAGAATACCCAAACTCCTGTGGCTTATTTATATGATTTTGAGCATATTGGAGCCAACTTTTTTTGTGCTTTTGGGTTATTAGTGGTGTACGTCTTGGAGTTCTGGCATTGAAACCTTCTGCATTTAGTACGTGCCTTACTGTGCTCACTGAAATCTTAGTGCTTGTTGCCACCAAGTCTTGCTGCAGGTCTTTTGCAGACACTCTATGGTTCTCCACAACCTGTCTTCTCAGAAATCCGGTTGCAGCCATTGATAGCTTCCTCTTTCTGCCCCATCGAGGTAGTGTAACCACTGTTCTTTCAACTTTGAACTGCGAACTATGCTTCCAACAGTGTCTCTAGGAACATTCAGTGGCTTCGCTATCTTTTTGTATTCTGTTCTTTGTTTATGAAGGGCGATGATCTCTTCTCTTAACTTTGTGGACCATTCTTTTCACTTAGCCATATTTCTAACAGGTAATAAAACGTGACACTCAACAAATCCCTATTTCAGTACAGGTATTTCAGGTGTTCCAGCTCAAGTACACGAATAAAACCATTGATTAGTTGCATCAAATGTGCTTGACACAACACATGATTTGAATATATATGCCTTTGTAAGGGATTCTATTCAGGGGGTTGAATAATTTTGAGACTAGCGAAGTCATTAAAAGTTGCATTTTTAGTTGGATTTGAGGAAACCTCTTGTGTGGAGCTATTTCAATTGCTTTTGTTTGATTTGTTCATTGCAAACAGCTGAAAGTCTGTAAATTTTCACAATAAACCTGATTTTCAATGAGGTTTGAATATGTTTGATTACAACAATATCTGTTCTGGCACTTTTCTCACCTCAAGCCCTTGTGCATAAACTCCTGCATCAATCATTTGGAGGTAGAATAGTGTGTTGCTCCAACCCCCTCTCTCCTTATGGACATATCACAGAAGTCATGGTTCTTCTACAAATACCTTGGTTACAGGTTTACATGTTTAGTATTGTTATCGCACTGCTATATTTTGATACTAATAAAAGGATCCCTTTAACTATAAAGCAAGTCAATAAGCCTTTTCAGCTTCATTTCAGAAATCTATTATTGATTGGTGGTGATGTTGTATTATAAATTGCCACCCCCTTTTTTCCACTTATCTCCAACATGACTATTACCCTTAGCATTATTGCCATTATCCTTGAGGTGGAAACAACTTATAAAAATAGGTCACTGTTGATATTGATATACTGATTTGGATATATTGATGACATTAAAGGATTTCTTTAGTAAAAATAAAAGGTGCCAGTAACTCGAAATCTCATTTTTTGGTGCTTGTGCCACAGGTAAGATTCCTGCTAGCTGAACCGCCTCAATACTACACATTAATGAAAGCCTCACAACATGGCAAGCTGGTATAATGGTGGTATTCAGGCAACATTTCGTCATTGAAAAGATAAAGATACTTTTGAGTGTTGAATCATTGTCTGTTTTTGAGTACTCATATTATTAATTCTTGGCTACTGGATACATCTTACCATTGTCACAATATTAATGGCATAGTATATAAAGTCTGTGTCCGACAGCTGTGACGTATCCTGGGATGTGTTGCCTAGCTTTCACCTAATGTTCGATAACTCTTGTTATTTATATTTTACTGTTAAATATTTTAACTTATTTTCAAATTGTATTATGTGGTGTATCTCCAATCCAAAAACTTAGTTTACATGTTTAACCCCTTAGTGACCAGACCGCTTTTCAATTTTCTTACCGTTTGGGACCAGGGCTGCTTTTACATTTCTGCGGTGTTTGTGTTTAGCTGTAACTTTCCTCTTACTCATTTACTTAACCCCACCATATTATATACCGTTTGTCTCGCCATTAAATGGTCTTTTTAAAGATACCATTATTTTCATCATATCATAATTTACTATAAAAAAAAAACTTTTTGGAACTTAGACCCCCAAAATCTGTTACGCATCTACAACCGCCAAAAAAAAACACCCGTGCTAAATAGTTTCTAAATTTTGCCCTGAGTTGTCAACATGTTCTTAGCTTTTTTTGAAAAGTTATAGGGCTATAAGTACAAGTAGCACTTTGCTATTTCCAAACCATTTTGAATGCAAGTTACATTGCAACACAGATATCTGTCAGGAATCCCTGAATAACCCTTCACGTGTATATATTTTTTAAAAGAAGACAACCTAAGGTATTAAACTTCGGGTATTTTGACTCTTTTCATGCAACTATTTTACCACCAATCTATGCCAAAAAATTTTGATACACATAGCAATGTAATAATACATGTACGGAGAACTTTAAGGGTTATTGCCAATATATGTTCAGCAACATCTCTGAGTACAGTGATACCACCTTTGTATAGGTGTGTATGGCTCTCTGGGGGCTATAAGATCTTATTTCGAGGGTGCATATTCCAGTTTTCCAACTTGGAATTTTCACAGCTGGTCATCATGCACCCATGTCCTATTTGGGACATTTTTTAAGCCGACCAATGTAATTTACCCCCGTCACACCATATATTTTTGAAAAGGGTATTCAATATGGGGTATGTCCAGACTTTTTTAGTAGCCATTTAGTCCCAAACACTGGCCAAAGTTATCATTTATATTTGTTTGTGTGTTAAAAATGCAAAAAAACAATTATGAACGCTAAATTTGGCCAGTGTTTGCGACTAAATGGCTACTAAAAAAGACTAAGCATACCCCATTTGCAATACCTTGGGTTGTCTTCTTTTGCAAATGGTATGCCATCATGGGGATAATTCTCATTCTTGGGCTACCATACGCTCTCAAAGGCAACATAACCAACCTGGCAAATTTCAATGTGAAAAAACAGCCTTAAAAAAAACACTATAAAACCTGTACATGGGGGGTACTGTTATACTCGGGAGACAGTAAAACATATCACAACAATGTGATACATATCATCAGTGAAAGTGCCGTTTGTGTGTGAAAAATGCAAAAGATTTAACTTTAACTGACAATATCATTGCTGTGATATGTTTTACTGTTTTGAAACACTAATATTTGTGTTCAGCAATGTCTACCAAGTAAAACAGTACCCGCCATGTACAGGTTTTAGGGTGTCTTGGAAAGTTACAGGGTTAAATATAGTACTAGCAAATTAAATTCTCTGGACCTTTGGCCTGTCAGGCAGGTGCCCCAAATTGCAATCAATAAAATTACTTATGTAAAAATATTACAAAAATATGCACGTAGAATTTAAATATATATTTTATATATTTGAAGTCTAGGTGTATATTTATGAAATTATTTATGTAATTATGTATATTTCGTAATATTTTTATTTATTTATATATACATATATATATATATATATATATATAAATAATTTCATTCTAAGTGTATTTTGATATAAATATATATATATATATATATATAAAAATATCAAAATACAGTTAGAATAAAATTACATATATATATTTTTTGTATTTTTTGTTCATTTTATTTATTATTTTTACTTTTTTATTGATTATTATAATATATATAATTATATATACACACACACACACACACACGTGTGTAATTTTACTCTAAGTGTATTTTTATATTAATAATATATGTATATATTAATAAAAAAATACACTTAGTATGACATTATATAGAAGATATAGATATATATATATATATATATATATATATATATATATATACACACACACATACACACACATATTATCAGGTACGTCCACGGTCCTTAAAGATTGTTTTTTTGTTGGACGTACCTGATACGTCCGAGGTCGCGATGGGGTTAAACACTGCAGAATAAGTTGACTCTACATAAATACCAATATTAATAATAATATAATTGCCAAAGCCTGGATGTCAGTAGGGGCCGTATGATAGCAATGTATTAGAGCCCAACAGATTAAGCAGCAGATTACTAACAACAAATTATATATTGCATATTGTACAGAAATGAAAAAAAACTAATTCAGTAATTTGACACAACAGAAACTTACATTTGAGAGTGACTTGACCAGGTTCCCACTTCCATCCAAAGAATTAATAAAGTCTTTAAAAAATTTCATTTTGACTTTTGAGTCTCTGATGTGGAGTACCCCTATGCCTTTGAAATTAAATTCCACATGTTGTTTTATGGCAATAGAACGTGAGAAAATGCTGATTGTTTCTTTGACGCATCCCTCAATTGTGTCTCTACTAAATGGGCTTTCCAAAGACAGTGCTATGTAATTTAGAGGGACAACTGGAATATCTCCTAAATATAAAAAAGAGAGAGAGAGGGGAATATATAATCAGGCTCATGTACATTTATCAAAAAAGTACAGTTATATACTAATACTGAGTGAGAGTCTTGAATATGGAGGATCTCAGCTCTGTTTAAAGAATCACTCCATGCCCCATAATCCCTTATACCAGCTGAAGTGGTTATGGTGTACCCTGGCACCCTCCCAGAGTAATTTGTCAAACAATTTGAGCATGGTTTGACAACTGATCTGGCCCCCACAGGATAACTCAACTTGTTCCCTGCTGCAGGAGGAACCGGTGTCTCCCCAGACCAATACAGAGCCATGCCCATGCTGCAATTTACCATCCCTTCTTCCTTATCTGTGTGATTTTTGTTCACACTGAGTACAAATTGTAGCTGTAATCAGACACAGCAATTCACAACACCGCTTATATTTGGTATTGAATCTATTCGATTATATTAATTTTCTACTTATTATTAAAGTGCGTTGATACACCCAACAAGAAATTTGTGAAATCTGTGCTATAAGCACAGGATTTTCTCATCTGATGTCTCTAAAATAACTTGTTTATTTGTGCATTACAATGTGTAACACGCAAATCTCATAACTTGTTCTGATAAAGTGATCTTTTCTCAGTGTGCAACTTCAAATACAAGCCATTTATATTCATATTACGTTAAGCCTTTAAGCCACTCCAAATAATAATGCTATAGTTCTCCGCTCCCTTTTTCTTCCAATTGTTGCCTTCTATTTTAATTGTTGGTCTCACCCATCCATGCTCTGGACTGTCCCTTCTCTCTCTCTCTGATAGATGAGGTTCTTGTAACATACACACTCAAAACTCTGTTTCTATTTAGACAATTAAAAACTTTATTTAAATACTGCGAGATTTATCTTGCTTACCTGTTACAAATAGTTTATTATACTTAAGGTTGTGCGTCTGTGCTAGCTTTTCAGACAACAGAAACACTGGCCTCTGCACAACGATGAATTTGTTGTTGCCGCCAACTTCTAGTTTATATCTTGATTGAGTCAACGTTCCAAGCCCCGATATTTGTACACCCTAAAATTAACAAACATTAAGATATGTCTTTTCCTGTTCTCAATTTTAGTATACACATACTGCACATATTTGTATTTAGGGTGTTACAAAATAACTGCAGAAACATAGGTAATAGCAGAAAGTCAGACAAAACGCATCACAATAATTAAAATATAACTCTCTATAAGTTGTTGAATTCTAAGTTATCTAAAGACGTTTACAAAGAGACAAAGGTATAAAAAAGGATCCTTGGAAATTCCATCTGAGCACTTTATATTTATTCCTACGTTGCAACAGGATTATACTCTCACTTTTGGAAGACAAGAAACAAGACTACAGGGGGGAGAGAGAAAAAAACATACTCTTTATTCACATATACACATCACTCTTAGGGAAAACTGCTATTAAAACAATAAGATGCTATAAACACCATTTGGCAGGGAACAGAAAACCAAACTGCTAAATTCTTTCAAAAATGGGTAATTGATCATTTGAGAAAAGTTTGAATTTTTTTTCCAAATCGGCACTATTTTGCCTATATTTTGCAGTTTGGTTTTAAATTCACTACAATTCACTGTTTAGGGAATTCGGTTTACCCCCTTTCTAATTATGACATTCTGGCTTAATAAACAAAATAAAGGTGATTGGTGATATCTAATCAATATCTTTAATAGGATGTGCAATTCTCTGGTCATTTTTTGGGACTATGTCATTATACCACGACCTCAGAACTACTTTAAGTTTCCCAAGAACATTACATTTGAGAATATCAAGTAATTTAGACCAAAAACCTTGTTCCATCCATGTATGATGATGCACAAAATAAAAACCTACATGTTTCCAAGAACCAGACTCTTGTGCTGGAGCTTTTAGGGACAAGGAGCGAACAGTTGTGAAGCCCTTTGACTACATGAAAAATATGTACCATTGTACAAAACTCCTAATTTTACAGCTTCACAATAGCAAGTGAGCGTCTTAAAGGCAAAATCTATATAGGGCATGCCATCACAATAAAGGCCTAACAAGGTTCCTCCAGTGGCGGTGGTGCATCACTAAAAGACTGATGTTCTCCAGGCAATTTGTTGAGTTGCAGATTCCTGTATAATATTTCATGCATGCCACGGTAAACATAGCAACAGGTCCAGCTACTCAGCAAAGTGAATTGAAAAGCTTTTCAATGAAGCATTACACAGGGCAATGCTTCGGTCACAGAATTGCTGGACTCTTGTTACTAGGGGTTGGAGCTAACCCCATGGCTGGATCACCAAGGCTGTAATTTGAATTATTTGCTCTGAGCAGTTTTATTCCTTTGGTAGTGTGTCATAGCAACAGGTTTCAGCTCCAATTGGGTAGACATGTTCTCTTACTGCTATTGCATGCCATTCTAGCATGAAATCAGTACACAAAATCTAGTTGGGGCTTCATCTATTAATATATGGCTACAATGAATGGCTACAGCAGACTCTTTGAGCAGTAATTAATAATAACTATGCAACATACTGGCTATGTGGCTTAGATTCACTTTAAAAGGAACGTACATTTTATTCCCAGACTAGGTGCATTGTACTTCGACCATTCAGCTATTTGTACTTATAAATTATAAATACTTTATCATTTTATAAATAGTCGTACTTATAATTTATATACATTACCTTTTGAAGAGCCATTTGATTTTCAATGAACTCAGACACACTTGCCCATATGGAACTGACGTCTGAAATATAAAAAACACTTTTTACTCATGTTAGTGTATAATTTACAATATAAAAAAAAATAAACAGTTTACTGCACTCATTTGTTTCTAGAATTGTATCACAGCAAGTATAAAGCACAGCTGGGATATGTGTTGGGGTAGCAAGTCTAATAAGTCTAATTTACAAGTCTCATCTACACTTTTTTTTGCACACACGCTCACTAAACTAAATTCATGCACCTTATTTTTTAGAAACATTACTTCAACTCAGGTAATTGATCATCCATACTTAGACTATTTTGTTAATAGCTGGAGCCCCCTGCTTATTATAAGCACTTTAAAGGGACTCGATAGTATCCAGAACACTTACAGCTTGAAGGACCACAATAGGCACCCAGACCACTTCAGCTTAATGAAATGGTCTGGGTGCCAGGTCCAGCTAGGATTAACCCTTTCTGCTGTAAACATAGCAGTTTCAGAGAAACTGCTATGTTTACTTTAGGGTTAATCCAGCCTCTAGTGGCTGTCTCACTGACAGCTGCTAGAGGCGCTTCCGCGCTTCTCACTGTGATTTTCAGAGAAAGCTTTCCTATGAGACTGGCTGAATGCGCACACGGCTCAGCCGATGACGGGGAAAGGAGGAGGTGAGTCTCCAGCACTGAGGGAGCCCGGCGCTGGAGAAAGGTAAGTGTTTAACCCCTTCCTATCCATCCAGCCTGGCGGGAGTGGGACCCTGAGGGTGGGGGCACCCTCAAGGCACTACAGTGCCAGTAAAATGAGTATGTTTTCCTGGCACTATAGTGGTCCTTTAATGTAGTTGTTCTCGTGGGTATAGCTGGTCCCTGCAGGCTTTTTAATGTAAACACTGCCTTTTGAGAGAAAAGACAGTGTTTACAGAACTGCCTAGTAACAGTGAATGTTCCTCATAGATTTGAATTGATTCAATGGATCTCTTTGAGGAGATATGCCGATTGGCTCACGGGGGAGCTTAGCCGCACGTGCGCATTAGCCTCCCAATGCTTTCCTATGGGAAAGTACTGGATTGGCTGAGACTCAGTTTTGATTATCTCCACCAAGGAGGCGGAGCTCCTGGTAGAAAAGTGTGCCAGGAGCTGTCACTAATGTGCCCTGTGCCTGTACAGAAGTATAATACAGGGATCAATGCTAAATTTCCTAAAACCTAAAAAGAGACTTTATTTTGCTCCTCTCCCCAGCAAGTATAAAAAGACAGTTTGTGGCACCCTTACTTCATACGTCTCAAGTGTACCTATTTAGGTAGCGACAGTGCCTATTATGTGCCCAAATGTCTCCATCCCTCTTTTCTAGCCTAATGTCCCTCTTTTCTCGGAGCTCCATATTGTTGGTGTGTCTGAGAGTATAACAGAGCTCCACAGCAATAATACTCCCAGTAATGTGTCTGAGTGTATAACAGATCTCCACAGCAATAATACTCCCACTAACGTGTCTTTAACCCCTTAAGGACCAAACTTCTGGAATAAAAGGGATCATGACATGTCACACATGTCATGTGTCCTTAAGGGGTTAAACTGCAATAAATATGTTTCAAAATCAGTCATTATATTTTAGTTGCATAAATTATTATTAGTAAGTAAATTAAAATGTCTCAGAATAGCTCTGTGCATGACCACGCCCCCACTCACACCCCTAAAATGTAAATGTCCCTCGTAGTCCATTTGAAATGTTAGTAGGTATGCTTAATTTACACAATTATAAGAGTGAACATGCTAAGACTCCCTCTATTATTGTACATGATGATGTGAGGCTCTATTAGCTAACCAATGGAAATTGGGCCAACCTACACGCGCCACTCTGGACCACAAACTCCCAGCACAGGATAACATGTCATATCACTTATCAATACACTAACTGCATATCTTTTTACCCTGTCTTAAAGGCCAAAAAAATCAAATGTTTTCAGACTCCTTAAGGAGATACTATCGTGCCAGGAATACAAAGTTGTATTCCTAGCACTATGGCTCCCCCTGCCTTCCCCCTCCCTCGTGTCCCCTTGCCCAGGTAAATAAAAGGGTTAAATACCCTTTGTTTACTTACCTTATCCCAACACCGATGTTCCTCAGTGCTGGGTCGACTCTCTGCCCCATCCGACGGCCCGCGGCAAGCGCATGCAAATGTACCGCACGCAACAAACCTCCCCACAGGAAAGCATTGAATCAATATTTTCCTATGGGGAAATATCTGACCCTGGAGGTCCTCATGCAGATACCAGTTGAAAGGTCAGTTTCAATTGAGGAAGCCCTCTAGTAGACAGCCACTGTGGGCAGCCTTAGCGCTGCAATGTAAACATTCCAGTTTCTCTAAAACGGCAATGTTTTACATTGCAACACTAAGGGCAATAGGGACACGGTACCCAGACCACTTCAATGAGCTGAAGTGGTCTGGGTGCCTAAAGTGTCACTTTAAGCACATATAGAAAAAAAACATGCTTTTCTAAAGCTTTGGAGGAGAACCCAGCAACCTAAGCAAAAGCACATATTATGCAAATAGCAATTCTTCACTTATATTTTAGGAGAAAATCTAAATCTAAATCTAAAGTGCATATTTCCCTTTTTTGTCACCCACTAATGCAATTTCTTTGTAAATGTCACATTTTATACAAGACTATGGACACATCTTTGGTTCATTTATCATAAAGAGATCACTGCATATCCATCTTTTATTAAAGGCACACTATAACAACTTAATGGAGTGTTAACTGAGATTTGTTGGTGTATACATCATGCCCCTGCAGTCGTACCGGGCCCAGGCACTTCACCGACGGGACCAGTTGTACCGGCTACAGAGACATTCCCACACTGGGCATCGGCTGAAAGGCCTCTCACCCTGCCCCACAGATGACAGACCTTGAACCACCCCATGTGGGCACACTCCACGGCTGTCTCAGCTGCTGCCGGCATACCCTGATACCTGCCGGGTTGGTAACCCTTACATCACTGAACTCTCTTGTATCTGGCAAGGGGAGACTTTTGCCAATGTTAACGTGCATTAGTTGGTACATGATCATTGTGACCTAATTGTAGTTTAACCCTCATTGCCTGTTATATGCCCTGCTCGGATGTCTCACACATAGGCGCGATTACCCAGAGAAACGGCCTAATAGGGGGATACACAAAAGCCTGCTAACACTATAGTGAGCCTGTCCTAAAGATCCCTACCCACCACACTTAACGGGCTACCTCGGTCACCCTAAGCAGGTCTCCTTAATTGACCAAAGACCGTCACTGTATGAGATCATTGTGGTCCGCACCCCTAGCGACCCTCATTAAAGAGCCTAATGACATCCCTTACATTATGCAACCACCCCAATTGTATTAGCACAGATTCAAAATACCATATCTGTATCCCACCTTGTAACGCACTGTAATCATTAAGCGCTGCAGGAAACACCCTTGGGGCAAGCAATGCTCAGCCACATAGATGCAAATACTTACCTTACAGATGCATACGTTTATACTTACCTTACAGAAGCATATGTTTGAATTATTAGAAACTTTAGCATAAAATTATATCTATTCATGTGACATAACGTTTCAGTTTTCGCCTGTCTTTAATATAAAAAAGTGCTGTTTTATTGTATGCCATACCAAGTTCAATGCTACTACCCAACTTGCTATTGCTGTTGTGGCATCGCAAGAAAATGTTCACTGTCTTTTCATGCACAAGAAAAATAAAGAATTTAAAAAAAAAGGTTTTTGCAGGTACTTACAGGGGGGCTAATAGTCATGCCCCATAAGGCATAATGCAAGTTTATTGATTTTTTTTTTTATGTGGGTTGGAGTAACCCTTTAAGCTGAAGTTGTTTTGGTGATTAGACTATTCCAAAGATTTACTAATACAATGTTTATGGTTTTCATCCTTTATCCAGATTATACTCCACACAATGTAGGGGGAAATGTTTTAAATGTAGTTAAATTTAATACTATGTATTTTAAAAGAACGTTTTAGCATAACCACAATAGAAAGCAGCTTGGTATAACTCTCTGTTCTCAGCAGTCTATGAGCGAGCTTAGTTGATGAGCATGATTAGCTAACGATGAGTTGATTAAAGGGTGTCACATTTCTTCTGGATCATTTAATAATATAAGGTTGCTTTATCACCAGGTAACTTAATACAGGAATCCACAAAACTAAAGCAGAGCTTTTACAAGTAAAGTAAATTAACTGTAACTTATTAAAGGGACACTATAATCGCCAGAACAACTACAGCTTAATATAGTTGTTCTGGTGTCTACTACCTGTCCCCTCAGGCTTTTTGCTGTAAACACTGTCTTTTCAGAGATTACCGCATGGGAATCCCTCTAGTGGCAATCACTCAGACAGCCACTAGAGGTGCTAATCCTTCTGGGAATTAGGGGGCTATCTACTAAGTGGCTGCAAGATGCAGCCGGGGCACTGATTGGATCGGAATTTCTAAATGACAAACTGTACATATTCTGTTAGAACGAAATCCGTTCATTTCACTGGCGCCCTAGTGTATACTGGACGTTCGAACGGGAAGAACACAGAGGAGGGTGAATATTGTGGGCACACTTTCTTTGACCACGGCAAATGGAGCAGAGTTGAGCTCCTCTTTTGGTCAAAGAAGGTCAAGCGTCCCTACTTTGTCTTTTGTTTGAAAGAAAACTAGATCAGATATGAAGAAAAGAAGAACATTTTCTGAGAGAGGAAGAGAAGAGGAAACAATAGGAGAAAGGTGATGGTGGATGTGAAATTATTCTTTACGATCAAATCGGGTTTGTCACAAATTGTTCTTCCTGTTCTAATTTAATGAGAATAGTGGATATCTTGGATTCTGCCAATAGATCCGGTTTGCCCCTCCTCACTTTGTCCATAGACACAGAGAAAGCGTTTGACAGAGTCAGCTGTGAATTTATGAGTCAGTCTCTGTCAAATTTTGGTATAAATGGCAAGATTCACTAGGCTATTATGTCCTGATACAATTATCCACCCAGATCAAATCGGCTGCATCCCAAATAGATCTTCCTGTTTTAATACAATGAGAATAGGGGATATCTTAGACTCTGCCAACAGATCCGGTTTGCCCCTCCTGACTCTGTCGATTGATGCAGAGAAAGTGTTCGGCAGAATTAGCTTTGAATTTATTAGTCAGTCTCTGTAAACTTTTGGTATAAATGGCTGGATTCACCAGGCTATTATGTTCATATATAGTTATCAGACTGCTAGGATAAAAGGCCAAAATATTAGTAACAGAACTTGACAAGGGCGCCCTCGTTCCCCTATTTTGTATATATCAATTGAACCTCTAGCGATCATTATTAGGAATACATTTTAACATCAAAGGTTTTTCAACAAATCATTAGGAGTTAAAAATAAATCTTTATGCACACAATGTTCTAAGAATGATAGTAGATGCGGTAAATTCTTAACCTCCTCTGATGAATGAGTTTGCCAACTTTGGAAAGTATCAAATTATAAGATCAATATTCATAAAACCTCTGTTTTTAGACTCCAATTTGATTCCAGAGATAAGAGAACTCATAGAGCAGAGTTACAACTTTGATTGGGTGAAGAATGGTTTTCCGTACATTGAGATAAGTCTTCCGAGAGGCATTCATCAGATTATGGCAACTAATTTTATGAATCTGCCGAAGCAGACAAACCAGTTATAAAAAGAATGAAGACACTCTGAGATATAATGCCGTAGTCGAATCCATGTAATCAATTCACATATCATCCCTATATGGCCTTATTAGTTCTACATGCTCCCTCTTTTTATTTCAGATGCATGGTTAGATTTGGTACAGACTAGTTTCTCAAACTTTATTTGGAAAGGGGAATAGACCTAGAGTATAACAAAAGTTAGTATTTAGCAATAAATTAGAAGGTAGTCTCTCCTAATATTGATGCGTTTATCAGGCTAACGTAATGGTCCATGTGAACAGACTCCAAGCAAACCTAACTGGTAATGAGTGTTGGTATGAGATACATAAAGTGAATGTAAATGCAAAAGATCTGTTTCATGCTGCTTGGAGCTTTGAAGATATACTCTTGGGTAAACAACTCATAAGTCTGAATATGATTTTACACCAAATTCTGAAAGCCTGGTTCAGGATTAAGAAATCTCTAGATCTACAATATAAAATTTCTGCCTCTCTCTCTTTAGATTATATTATAACGGACATGAATTTGAAGAAGTGGAGATAATATGGGATTACACATATTTGTCAGCTGGTAGACAAATCTGTAATTAGACAGTTTTTTTAGAATTAGTAAAGGTATATCAGCTATTGACATAAGAACGGCAAAACGTTATTTGCTTTGGCTTTCCATTTGATTAGATTCTCATTAAATTGGAGTCTCTTCCAGCACTTTTAGCTTTGGAAAAGGATCTTGGTCTAAATGTTAGTAGATTTGACTGGTGTTCTGCTCTTTTAGACACTTACCGGCTGATAAAGTGCTTGATCTTACTGGAAACTCATTAAAAGTTGTTTAAAAAAACTACCAGATTGACAAAAATGTATGATGCAAGCACGTCAATGTAGCGGAGCTGCAATCCTGAGACCTAAATAGCTCTGCTGAAGTCCTCTCAAGCTGGAACAAAGCACTGCTTAGTGAATATAGCCCATTCCCCCAGTAACTGGACGACACACAGTTCGGGAAGCCAACTAAATTTTATTATGTCACACTCACCTTTTTATGCACAGACCCCCAGCATGGGGTCTCCATTCAACATAACACAAACCCCTCACAGGTGTCCCTGTGTCTGGGAGATAATTGAGTCCAAAACTCGTAACTCAATTATCTCTCAGTTACAGGGAACCACATATGAAATATACAAAACACCCCCAAAATACAATCATACTACACAGGAACCCCAAATAGCCTGGATCTGAGCGCCCAACTTGCCCAAATACCCTTTGGTAGAACAGAATCTCAATCCGGGTAAAGTTCTGACCAGCAGGCCACGAGGTGGTAGCCCAATATAGTGCCAGAGGAAAAGAGGCAACAGACTGTCCACTTTCGGGAGTTCCTGTGCGAACACCGACTAATGCTCCCCCTGGCTTTTAGGGAGCGGATGCTCACCCTATTTGGTAGTTCCTTTTTCCTGAACGGCGCTATCCTAACTGGTCTGGGAGAGCCGCGCTACAATTTTCCCCCCTCCCGAGTTCGCGGGATCGCGTAGCCGCCAAAGAGTTCCAGGCATTCGACGACCATGTACAGCTGCCTGTGTTCGGGAGACAAAATGTCCACCATTTACTAGATCACATGTGTTATACGAACAGTGACCAACCAGGGAATGCACTTGAACTAATTACTCTTTTGAAGTTAACGAGCCAGGGGTGGTCGGTGTTCGAAGGGTATAAAAGAGGGGAACCCCACGTCTTCCAATCGGGAAACAAACAAGGGGTACGGACAGTCGAACAGAACAAAATAAGTTTTATACAGCGGACCCAGTCTACTACACGAAGGTACGTTCGGGAAACTCCAGAATAGGTACGGACGATTGAATGAGATAGGATAGGATGCGTTACACATGTCTATGTTGGAGATGTAGTTTAACCCCTTAAGGATACATGACATGTGTGACATGTCATGATTCCCTTTTATTCCAGAAGTTTGGTCCTTAAGGGGTTAAAGGAAGGAAATAGCATTCATATATGAAGGGAGTACAATAAGGTAAGAGATCTTTGGAGTAATTGATTTGAATGGTTAGATATTATGCTAAGTATTAAACTAAATAGATAACAGCTGGTTGCTTTGCTACATATGAACTGGCCAATTTTAGAATCGGCAGACAGATTCCTACTAATTCACTGTGTAACATCTGTAAAAATAGTAATGTTTTAAATGTAGTCTCCGATGAGTTGAATTTCATATTGTGTATTTTAAAAGAAAGTTTTAGCATAACCACAATAGAAAGCAGCTTGGTATAACTCTCTGTTCTCAGCAGTCTATGCGCAAGCTTAGTTGATGAGCATGATTAGCTAACGATGAGTTGATTAAAGGGTGTCACATTTCTTCTGAATCATTTAATAATATATGGTTGCTTTATCACCAGGTAACTTAATACAGGAACGCAAAACTAAAGCAGAGCTTTTGCGAGTAAAGTAAATGAATTGTAACTTATTAAGTAGCAATACGAGCATGTAGCACTGCTGCATTCTAAGCGTAGACAACATAACAAGATATCAAACAATGCCATCTGAGCACTAGTTATATCAATTAAATCATATTAAATAAATCAAATCAGACAATTTACCCTACCAGGTGTGCTTTGTATATCGGTTTCTATTTAAACACACAGGAATTGTGGTAAATTGACAAAGGATTTGCAAACTATGTAACAAAATAATTGTTTTTGAAAATTTTCCAAACACTGTGTGCCCAGCAAAGAAGGATGCCACCTATTACCCAGAGTAGTTGGCATGAACAGCTATGCATGTGCCCAAGCAATGAAAGAAGATACTGCTTACCAAGAACCCACAAATTAGGCAAATTCTAACTTAGTGTTACATCGTAAACAAACTCAGACTAAGCGACAGCTGTTTACTTACTGCTTTGTGTCCCCGATCACATGCCTCACAAACAATATGTGACAAATCATGTAGATCAGCCTGGAAAGTACAACGAAAACCAACGCTGCACATACACACAGCACTCTGAATCTGAGATGTTTAACTTTCTCCTTTCAGATAATGGTAGACTGAAATAACCATAATTCTTTGCCACACTATTATTGACAGAGAACTATGGGGCTGTGAGTCAGTAGCCCTAGACTAGAAGTTATCTGAAAACCACAGTCTCATTCTATGCTATATTCACCAATGTAAATTTCAGTCATTTTAAAAGGACCGTGCAGTTACCACGATAGTAACAAAAATATAACACAGAGACGTGGTTGCTATCTTCATTCTTCCCGCAATCCTTCTCTTTGTGTTTATATTATATTGTTTGCTAAGGTAGCTGACGTACGAAAAGTAAAGACTTATTGTTTCATTATACTTGCTTAGTTACAGGTAATATTCAATATTACAGGCAATGCATAAACTCATACATGGAACACATATACCAAAACACACAGAGAAATGATAGCCACACAAACATTTTCCCAACAATATTATAGATGACATATACAAGATGCAGTCTCTGCCCACTTTCCAACCATCTAAAATATGCACAGCTTTCTCCCTAGACTTTCCACTTTCCGTGGTTATCACACTACATAGACTGATGTTCCAGTAAGTAACATGCTGAATCTTTTCCCTGGTCTGTCCAATTCCCATTACTGTCACATGAATAGAGTTAAGACTGGCACTCCAGTCTTTACCATGACAATATTCCTTCCTAGAGCGCCCACTTATCAAGCTTTCTATAGTATAGATAGGTGATGGAGTCTCCAATACATAATGTTCCACCCTGTCTGCCGGCTTCCCATGCTTGCCAAGTGACAAAGATGGGAACTGAAGTTTGAAAAACAAGGAGCTTCTCCAAACACTGCTTCTTTTCCACGATTGTGAGCCTTTCTGAAAATAACTTGACAAATGCAGGGGGACTGCAACCAATGACTCTTCACACAAAACCCTCTAAAATAGCTGTAGTGGTTACTATGCTCAGAGCATACCTTTACGTGACCTGAATCAAGTCACAGCTTGGTGCGTGCTCTTTCTAAATTTGCAGATCCTGGGAATTTGTAGCAAGTGGAGAACATCATTATCTGTCTTGTTATTTGAGCTTTGTTGTTTCTGCATACTTGTAATGTATTGCCTCTATAATGCATAAATAAAAGGTTAACCTCAGTCCAGAGTGACTCTTTAATAATGCTGCACCTTGAACAGTAAAGCTTTTGCTAAGAAACTATTAAGGCCCTCCTATACAAACTAGCTCGACATTTAAATTCCCAAGACAGAATCCAAGGATGAAACGTTCAACAAAATATTCAGAATCGTTCTTTATATTAAAAATGCTCGATCCGCATGTCGTCAAACGCGCTCTTGGGACAGAACTCTCAGGGCTCACAGCCTCCACCTTCCGAGCCCTCTGATGACCAGGCCCCAACTACCAAACATGACCTGAAGTCCCTACTAAGCTGACATTCACAAGTTGTTGGTGGCTGACTCTGCTCTCCTCAAAACATGTGCAGAATGTCACAGATCGAGTGAGGGCCACTGAGGAGGACATAGTAGATGTACAAACCCACATGACCACACTACAAGACTCAGTGTTACAGACCCAGACTCAACAGAAGATCAGGTCACTCAAAATGACGGCCATGGAGGATTGCCAGCGACGGACCCACATTAAAATGAAAGGCATCCCCACTGCGATCTCGGCAGAAGAGTTACCGCATTATGACCAGTATCCTACCCCATGCTGTGTCTAAGAAGATACCCATAGACGGAGTTTACCGTCTTCCAAGTTATACTCCCCTGAAACCCAATACAGTCTGAGATCTGATCCTGCGCTGCATCACTGTACAGGACAATATTCAAATTATGTTTGCATTAAAGAGCAAGACACCTCTGACATTTTAGAACTGTATATTAACCTTCTTTCAGGACCTCACAAGAGCCACTCTACTCTGGCATAAGTCCTACGGCCCTGCAACTGATCGGCCGCGCTCTGCAGGCTTGGTCTATAGATGGGGGGCAAATGGTTCTCTGATAGTATCACATGCTGGTACTACACGTCTTTACCTCGCTGTCCGAGGCCTCAGCCTTCCTGGACAACTTGGGACTGACCCAACTCGGATGATACCCCTATCGTGGGGACTCTGGTGGTATCTTGAGACCCTGCTGATGTCGTACCCTTTATTCGAAGGGCTGGTAACTTGCAAACTAGAGTACTGTGACTGCCGTGAATATTGCATACTCTGCATACATTCTGACTGAACAAATATTTTCTGTCTTTTTAGTAAGGTTTATCTCGGTTTTTCATATATGTTTTGCACCTTGCCATATCAATGTTCATAACTCTAGATGAGTTGTATATTGTTAAGTATAAGGGCACACCAGGCCAGAAAGTATGTGGAACTTAGGGTCTGTGGGAAGTCAGATCCCTACCACTTGGCGCAACTTCTCTACCATCCCACTCACCCTCCTTCCTCCCTCATTCCCGCTGCCTCCTTGGTTAGGGCGCCCCCAATCCAGCTTTCTCACACTCAAGCTATAGAGACATCTTTATACGACTCAAGCACCTTTTATAGGCTTTCTATACGTCCTACTCAAGCTGATCACACAATATATGCATCTTAGAACCAGAAACAAGACACTGTTGCACAAAGAAGGCTTATCAATAAACTGCAATCTTTAAGTTTGGATTCCAGTATTGTTGAATGGGTAAGGCAGTGGCTGAGTGACAGGCAACAGAGGGTTGTAGTCAATGGAGTATATTCAAAGCATGGGCTAGTCACCAGTGGGGTACCTCAGGGATCTGTACTTGGACACATTCTCTTTAATGTTTTTATTAGTGATATTGCAGAAGGTCTTGATGGTAAGGTATGTCTTTTGCTGATGATACTAAGATATGTAACAGGGTTGATGTTCCAGGAGGGATAAGCCAAATGGCAAATGATTTAGGTAAACTAGAAACATGGTCAGAGTTGTGGCAACTGACATTTAATGTAGATAAGTGCAAGATAATGCATCGCGGATGTAAAAAAAGTGCAGAGTACAGAATATTTGATAGAGTCCTAACCTCAACATCTGAGGAAAGGGATTTAGGGGTGATTATTTCTGATGACTTAAAGGTAGGCAGACAATGTAATAGAGCAGCAGGAAATGCTAGCAGAATGCTTGTTTGTATAGTGAGAGGTATTAGCAGTAGAACACTGTTGAGACCTCACATGGAGTATTGTACGCAGTACTGGAGACCGTTTCTCCAGAAGGATATTGATACTTTAGAGAGAGTTCAGAGAAGGGCTACTAAACTGGTTCATGGATTGCAGGATAAAACTTACAAGGAAAGGTTAAAGGACATGGCTTGGAGGAAAGACAAGACATGGGGGATATGATAGAAACATTTAAATACATAAAGGGAATCAGCACAGTAAAGGAGGAGACTATATTTAAAAGAAGAAAAACTACCACAACAAGAGGACAGTCTTAAATTAGAGGGGCAAAGGTTTAAAAATAATATGCAGAAGTATTACTTTATTGAGAGGGTGGTGGATGCATGGAATAGTCTTCCAGTTGAAGTGGTAGAAGTGAACACAGTAAAGGAGTTTAACCCCTTAAGGACACATGACATGTGTGACATGTCATGATTCCCTTTTATTCCAGAAGTTTGGTCCTTAAGGGGTTAAGCATGCGTGGGATATGCATTAGGCTATCCTAACTATAATATAAGGCCAGGGACTAATGAAAGTATTAAAAAAAAATTGGCAGACTAGATGGGCTGAATGGTTCTTATCTGCCATCACATTCTATGTTTCTAGAATCTATTCAAACATGTTTCATATCTATAAGTACTGCTTTCTCAATTTTTCGAGATGTAGGATTTCACATATGTCAATTTTACTTTCTGTTGTTCCTTATACCAATGTGTCGTGTTTTTAAAAAAAAAAAAAATGTGCATTAATCTTGCAATGTATGACCCGCACTACATATTCCTGTATACTTTACTTTTGATAAATGTTGAATATATGAACGCACAGCACCGCAAAAATAAAGAATTCCATTTTTTTTTTTTAAATGCTCGTCATTATATTCAATAGCTCAAAGCAGGCAATTTTGTTCTTACCATCCTCAGTCAGTTTGGAGAGAGTTGGAAACCCACTTTTAGCGGTGTCCACTAAAAAATCCAGCATCTTTCAAAATTATTTGGTGCAAGTCTAAACAAAAGAAAATCATAACTATAAGACATGCTTAAGATATATATTCAACAGTAGTGACAATTGATCCTTGTGATGGTGTACTATTATCCAATTACAGTGGAACACTACATTAAGAACAATTGTGGGGCAAAGTTATTTATTTTCATGTGCATTTGTAGAGAGCCAATATATCTGAGTGCTCTAAGTTTTCAAATTGGAGCAAACCATGGAAACTAATGGCATGTTACTGTTGACTCCACAACTCTGATCTCCAGGTAGGTAGTCAGTACCTTGATTTTTGTTTTAACTAAGTATGCAAAAGTGGTAACTCTCCACCATTTCACGTCTAGATCAAGAATAGGTATACCTGAGGACCTGTAGTTTGCAGTCTGTATTAAGAACTACACTGGTTACCCAAATATTGATCAAGAATAGACCATGGAGCTAAACTCAAAGACACGCGTTTGCACAGAGCCCCTACCTCGGAAAGACTTCTCAATGAGTTTTAATGCAGCTTACTAAGAAGCATGGACAGTTGGTCCCCATGACACCTCAAAGAGAAGCCTCTGATTGGACACTTCCCAGCATAGAAGTATGTGCTGGGGAAGAAGGAGGTATTGCAGTAGCTGCAGATACAAGATCTGCAGCAGCTGCACACTAATATTAAATGTACCACCACCAAAAACGGGCAAAAGGAATGACATGCATGTTTTCTTTGGAGGTAAGTTTACTGAATTGTTTTTTTTTTGGTTTTTTTAAATGGCATGATCCTTTATTAATTGGGCAGACTAGATGGGCCGAATGGTTCTTATCTGCCGTCACATTCTATGTTTCTTTGTTTTTATTAGCATCCATTCCCCACTCCTCCTCAAACCTAACTTCTCTGAGGTGAATATAAAGTAGAACGAAAGGGATATAAGTAATGCATATTAGAGATAAGAGTGCCATTTAACGTTCTACTGTTATTGTGATCATAGTCTCAAAACAAAAATAAAAATTTCTTATTAAAAAGAATTCTTACAAATAACTCAATTAACATTTCAATATACGGCATTTCTTAAATATTTCTAATGCACCTCCAAAAACAGTCACAGACCTCTGTGATATTACTCACATATGCTATCTTATTTCTTGCATAAGCTCAAAATTTATTTTCTGCTCAGGACAATAATCAGTTTTGGACTGACAAAATATTTGGGTGATATATTCACCACAGCTGTAAACATCACTCCTAAAACATGACAATATGGAGAGAATTAATTCCATTCCGAGAACCCTTCTGATAGCAAACACTATCTTGGTTATATGTTAAACATTATAAGGAATCTAAAGTGGATTTCAAATTTTAGACAAGAATAATGAAATTGGAAACATTCTTCAAGTCCAATAGATTTTCAGTGGGAATTCAAATTTATTTTGGGGCGTTCTCGCTCTCAATTCTAATTCGGAATTGTGGTGATTTGAAAACCTAATTGCAAAACACTGGCTATAAACTGCGTGGCTATAGCGGAGTTGGGGAAATGTTGCAATGCAGCACGTTTTTACTAAAATTGGGAATAGACCTTTCTGTTTTCAACAATTCATTGTGAAACAATTTAAAGGGAAACTATAGTGCTAGGCATACAAAGTTCTATTCCTAGCACTATAGTACCCTCTGCATGTCCCGCAACCACTGCCCGTCACCCCAGCAACATGCCCCCCCACTCCTGCATGTCACTCCTGCATGCCCCCCATCTTGTCTGTCCCCCCACAGCTGTGTCCCCATCCGCTGTCCCCCAGGCTGTCATCCCCTGTCTGTCCCCCCAGCTGCATGTCCCTCATCCCCTGTCTGTCCCCCAGCTGTATTGTCCCCCCCATCCTGTCTGTCCCTTAGCTGTCTGTCCCCATCCCCTGTCTGTCCCCCCCAGCTGTCTGTCCCCATCCCTGTCTGTCCCCCTGTCATCCCTGTCTGTCCCTGTCTCTAGCTGTCCCCCATCCTGTCTGTGTCTGTCCCATCCCCATCCTGTCTGTCCTGTCTGCTGTCATCCCCCATGCCCCCATGTCTGTCCCCCAGCTGCTGTCCCCATCCTGTCTGTCCCCCAGCTGTATGTCCTCATCCCTGTCTGTCCCCCCCCGCTGTGTCCCCATCCCCTGTCTGTCTGTCCCCCATCTGTCCCCCAGCTGTCTGTCCCCATCCCTGTCCCTCTAGCTCCCCCCAGTCTGTCTGCTGTCGTCCTCATCCTGTCCTGTCTGTCCCCCAGCTGTCTGTCCCAGTCCCGTCCCCTGCTCTGTCCCCCCATCCTGTCTGTCCCCATGCATGTCCCCATCCCCTCGTCTGTCCCCCATGTCCCCCAGCTGCCCCCCATCCCTGTCTGTCCCTAGCTGTGCATGTCCCCCATCCCCTGTCCCCAGCTGTCCCCATCCCCTGTCTGTCCTCCCCAGCTGTTCGTCTCAGCTGCCCTCTGTCATTGTGTCCCTCTGCATCCTGTCTGTCCCATCCCCTGCTGCTGTCCCATCCCCTGTCTGTCCCCCAGCTGTCTGTCCCATCCCCTGTCCCTGTGTCCCCATCCCCTGTCTGTCCTCTAGCTGTATGTCCGTCCCCATCCCCTGTCTGTCCCTCCCCAGCTGTCCGTCCCCATCCTGTCTGTCCCCAGCTGTATGTCCCCAGCGTCTGCTCCCCATCCCCTGCTTCTCCCCGTCTGCATGTCCCCCATCCCCTGCATGTCCTCTCATCCCCTGTCTGTCCCCCAGCTGCATGTCCCCCCATCCCCTGTCTGCCCCCCTGGTCTCCTAGTAAGTCTCACCTCAGCCTCTGCTCTATCCGCACACCTGCCGCTCTCTCTCCACGCACTCCCTCCCTCTCCCTGCCGGCATCCCGCTCTAGTCTCCAGAGGGGACGAGCCCAGTTGCTAGGACGCACAAAGTGCTCACCCTGTTGCTAGACGTGACGTCACCCGCGCGTCGACGCCCACTATTAAAATTAGCGCGTGACGCTAGGGCCGGGGGGTGTGGCTATCTAACCTATCGGGGGCGTGTCGCACGGTGCGTTATACGGACGGGCCGAGCATCACGGGAGATGTAGTCCGCTGCCACAATGCTCCCTGTGTGAAAAATGGCTGTTTGTTACCCATAATTCCTATCATTATTATTATTATTATACAGAAAGCACCAGGACAGCCAACTCTCAGAGAGATTTATTGATTGTGGAGCAGATATTAAATAATGAACACCTATACCCATAATGCATCATAAAGACAGTATTTATTTAATAATAACATCCATTCCATGGTTCTATCTGGAATCATGGCCTCGATTTAACCCCTAAAGGGCACGTGACGGAATATGACTAGTGATTTCCATTATAATCTCGGTGCTATAGGGCCGTCTAGTAGCCATTTATTCAATTAACCTTTGAGGTATGGAGTATAGACAGTCGGGCTAAAGGTTTTTGCAGATGGCTATTCTCTATAACAAACTCAAATGTAAAAATTGTACAAAAAAAACCATTGTTTAATTATTTGAAATAAATAAAATCTTTTATTTGCCTCCCACTTGTTGACGTGGGTTACATTTTTCACCGAATAGGAAGGTATGCAGTCTTCAGTTCCACAATAGTCATGAACTGGCCAACCTGCATGAAAAGCCAAAATGGATTGTCTACGGTCTTTATTTTGAAAATAGGAAACCTGGGATTGAGTGTCTTGAGGTCCATGATGGGCCAGATTCTACCCTACTTCTTTAGAACATAAGAAGGTCGAGCAAAACTCCAGACCATGTTCAAGAACTGAAACAGGAGAATCTACTCCGGTCCTTTCCAAGTCAGCTAACACAGTCCAGAAAAGCCTGTACCTTGAAAAAGATTGTGGGAACAATCGACATAGAAGGAGGATGTGTGCTGAAAGACCAGCAGGAAATCCTTAGAAACCAGAAAAATGGGTCAATGTGTCCACAAAGAACTGCAGATTGTCCATTTTGCGATTTGAAGACTATCAGTGGCTGCGCCACAGGACTTTGAGAAATCAGCAGTATGAGAATGTGAGGGTAAGATTCCAAAAATCTCATACAAGACAAAAATACCTCTAGAAAGAGGCCTTGTTCTTGTGTGAAAGAAATTCACTCTTATGGTGACGATAGGACTGTGCTAAGTGGTGCGACAGAGGTGTGCCAACCACGACTTGATAATGCAGGGATCCAAGTCCTAAGTTCCAGTATTGGTGATTTTTACTTTTCAATTTTTTTTTCATATCTCACAAAATATAATTAAGTAAATGTAATATTAAAAATTTGAGAAGTGACAGTTCCCAAATAGACCGTATTAAAAATAAATGCTTATTTTTCAAAATGGCAAAAGCCAGTTGTCACACCAACAAAATGAAAGACAACACACCATTAAATAACCAAAGGGACACTATAGTCACCAGAACCACTACAGTGTAGTGGAGTGGTTCTGGAGTCTAGAGCCTGTGCCTGCATGCTGAGCACTCTAAATGCTGCCTTTTCAGAGCAAAATGCCGTGTTTACATTACTAAAAACGTAGTAAAAAGACACCAACAAAGTGCAATCTAGTGCAGCTTCAAACCCACCCAAGTGTATTATCACCTGATACACTTTTAAAAATACCATACAAAATAGAAAGAAGGTGGTAGCGCACTAAAAGATTACCTTTTCCAATATCTTTAGACAGGATAAATTTATAGGTAAATTTTGTATAAAATAAGCAAATAAAACAGTGTAATATGTATGTATGTATGTATGTATGTATGTATGTATGAATGAATGAATGTACAAAAATGTGAGATAAATTGGAGAACTCACACTTTCCAAAGCCTATGTTTTGTTTGCTTATTTTATACAGAATTTACCTATAAATTTATCCTGATTAAAGATTTATTGTAAAAGGTCATCTTTTAGTGCGCTACCACCTTCTTTCTATTTTGTATAGTGTTTACATTTCACCTCTATTGTCAGTCACTCAGACGGTGCAGCACTGGAGTTCAGCGTCTCCACGCTCTACATAGAGATGCTAAACATTCCCCACAGAGATTCATTGATTCAATGCATCTCTATGACAAGATGCTGAATGACGCTGCGTGGCATTTTGTCACATGCGTAAAAGCCTCACAATGCTTTCCTATTGGGAAAGCATTGGATTGACTGAGGTCTTTAAGATTGAGGATCTCAGCCACAAAGGAGAGGCCAGCAGCGGCGAGACTGGCGTGGCATGGGAAAAAAGGGGAGTAAAACCACCTTTCCCGTGTGATAGGAGGGGGGGCTGGTCACCTACATAGTTAAACACTATAGTGTCAGGAATACACTACAGTGTTCTTTTAAGTAACTAAACAAAAAGATGTTTAAGGCATCACTAAATATTACAATTAAAATGACAAAACCTACCAATTCCAATTTCTTCGTTATTTTATTCACTTTTTATGGTAAATGTGTTGTACCTAGGATTTCATAGTCCTAGTTTCCATTTCTGCCAACATCCAATAATTAGATATGAAAGAAGGTGCTGTACAGAAGCAAATATATCAATTCAATTAGTGCACAAAAACACACTTTCAAAAAAAAAATTTAAAAAAAAATTAATATTTACAAAATTAGTTCCATCAAAAAACTTCATAGTAAAATGAACACTCACATTTTTTCTTTAACCAAAAAAAAAAAAAAAATTAAAAAACCCAAAACTTAAAAAGCATAGTAATGTCAAAGCAAAGAGCGTCATATATTATAAACAAGAGATTAACCTTAAAACAGGTTAAGTAAAAAGCTTGTAATGCAATCCGGTGTTTAAGTTGCTGTCAATGTGATTATTTTAGCAGATTTCTAAAAGCAGCCAAGATATCGAACTTAATCTTACACTTTCAGACTAACAACAAAGGTGCCAATATGTAAAATGCCTATTGCTGGAGAGGACAGAAGAGATTTTAGGATTCCAGCAAAGACAGAAGTTGGATGGAGGCACAAAATGTAGTTTGCTTTTCCCCCTCTCGAAGATTGGCCAAGGACTCTCTTCTCAGCCTACGTCTTCCAGAAGAATGGATTCTGTGCCAAACGTCTTTGGAAATTCTCATACCTGAGGAGGAATGATATAATAGGAAAATTAAATACATAAAAACCGTACAGGTTCTTGGATCCAATTGGTATGTTAACAATTCAATCCTTATTAAAGTCCCATAGAAAAAAAGGAATTAACAGAAGAAGCAAGAAGGTATCTTTCAGAAAGAAAATGCATATACGTGACAATATAGGATAACAGTACAAAGGGTTCACAAAGTAAAGTTACTTTTGTGTACACACTTTGCTAGTTGTTTGGCAAGCCCAATGTATAGATAAAGGAGGTAGGGTGTAAATTCTCACACAGATACACAACAGTATCAAGACTATTAGTGGACATCAGCCATCAACAGAATTGCAGAAGGTGAATGCCACATGATATTCTGATAGTACATCTATTGAATTATTCTCTGTAATTTAGCTGTATGTACGGTTATTCAGTGAATCGAGATTCTACCCACGATGCACAAATACTATATTAATTAACAACACCGTCTACTGGGGGGGAGGAGTCTATAGAAACACTAATCATGTCTACATTCTACTGCATTTGCTTTTATATTCTTGTATAAATTAAGGACTATTGTATTTTTTTTTTTTATATTTTAGTGACTCCTGCTTGTCCTTGGTACACTGGCAAAATGCTCACTGGCTATCCCTGCTGGGTATATAGTTAACAGTCAAGAACACAGTGAGTTTAGTCACTAAATATAAAATTTTAGTCAACTGAACACCAACATGGTAATTCAGTAAACTGAGAATTAGTAGGAATTCAAGGAGGAGAATTTTAAACTTAAAGGAACACTAAAAGGTCAGGAACAAACCATGTATTCCTGACCCTATAGTGTTAAAACTACCATCAAGCTCCCTTGCACCCCCCCCCCCCTTGCCTCCCTAAATATAGTAAAATCTTACTTCTATTCAAGTCTGAAGCTGCTGTATCTGCTCCTGATCTGCCTTCTTGGCTGACATCGCCAGAAGTGATTCTGTGAGCAAATCACAGTGCTTTCCATTAGATTGTCTGAGACTGTTAAGGAGGCAGATCAGGGGCAGAGCCAACACAAGTCAAACACAGCCCTGGCCAATCAGCATCTCCTCATAGAGATGAATTGGATCAATGAATCTCTATGAGGAAAGTTCAGTGTCTGCATGCAGAGGGTGGAGACACTGAATGTCCGGAAGCAGTGTTTACATTACAGCCTAGTGATAACTTCACTGGCCACTCCTTAGATAGCTGTTAGAGATCCTTCCTGGGTCATGGCTGCCTAAAATGCATCCAAACATTCAGTGTCTCCTCCCTCTGCATGCAGACACTGAACTTTCCTCATAGAGATTCATTGATTCAATTCATCTCTATGAGGAGATGCTGATTGGCCAGGGCTGTGTTTGAATTGTGCTGGCTCTGCCCCTGATCTGCCTCCTTGCGTTTCTTTTTGGAATGTATCTGCATTTTCTCAGTCTAGTGTGGATTTAATAGTACTACATTAATTCCCACCAAAAGATTTTTGAATATAGGACTCTAGTTAAAAAAAAAATATATTTTAATAGTTTTAGGGGGGAAAAAACACAAAAAAGTAATCCCAAAATATTAAAGTTTAACCACAGGACCGGACTGTTTTGGCCATGAAATAATAGGGGTCCAGGCACTCCTTGGTTCAAGACAGGCACTTTATTGAGAACCACAACAATGTTTCGACCAAAAGGTCTTTGTCAAGTGCTTGACAAAGACCTTTTGGTCAAAACATTGCTGTTGTGGTTCTTAATAAAGTACCTGTTTTGAACCAAGGAGTGCCTGGACCCCTATTATTTTACTAATGTTTGGAAATCTGGTGTTTGATTCCGGCTCAGTAAGCACCCTGGCTCAGATTTGTGGGTGTGAGTGCAGTTCCACATATACTATTCAATGTTGTTCGTTAAGGACCAGGGCTGTTTTAACACTTTTGTTGTGTTTGTGTTTAGCTGTAACTTTCCTCTCTCTCTCTCTCATTTACTGGTCCCTTACAAATTATATATTGTTTTGGGGTTTTTTCCAGGAAAAGAAGGGCTTTCTTTACAGACCATTATTTGTATCAGGTTATATAATAAAAATAAAAAATAATAAAATATGGTGAAAAAAATGTAAAAAAAAAAAAAACACTTTTTTTTTTTTTTTTACTTTTACCCGCGCTGCGCTGGAAATAAGGTGAGTTTTAAACTTTTATAGGGGGGCAAGCCACCTAAATGGCGAGTTTAGAACTATAGGGTCAGGAATATATGTTTGTGTTCCTGACCCTACAGTGATCCTTTAAAACACATTCCAATACGCAGTCCAGGTTTTGAAGGGCAACCGGGACAGTAAAAAGGGGTGTCTGTCCTTTCCCCTTTTTTATAACAGACTCTGCAACATTTCTGGGGATTGCTTTTTTTCAGTTGGCAGGATCTTAAAAATAAAACGTGTAGCACCAATTCTCTACTCCTCTAGCATTGTTGTTGGAACTTGACCATCTTCATAACTGATTGTAGAAATCAGCTCCAGCTGAAATTGGAGAAAGGTGGTTTTTCCTGGATTCATTTTTTTTAAATGAACAGGTTTGGTCTGTACTCTGCCTCGGACAGTAACGTCTGACTTGATTTCGTCGTGGATGGTGGTTAGCATGTTAACATCCTTCCTGTCCTTAAATTTTATTGCTAGCAGTTCAGCTTTGCGCAGAGCTTTGCGCAGAGCTTTGCAATCACCTTTTGTTAATTTGGCCTCTATAAGAGGTCTGGGGAAATCTTTGGAATTTTTCTCACAGTGCCGCAGACCAGTGTCTGCAAACCATAAAGAGTTTGAAACAAATGAACACTGCTATAAAAATTGTCCACATAAAAGGTGGTGACCTTTATTGAACAAGGGGATCAGTAGGTCCCAAACAATTTTCCCACTTGTCCCCCAGAGAGTCAGGACAGCCAGGAGGGTCCAGTTGACCATCTTTCCCCTCATATACGCAAAAAGGCAAATGTATAGCCACTTTGGCTCTTGCAGTTTGTACACTTTTACACCAAACCTAGAGCGCTTTGAGGGGATGTACCGTTTGAATTCTAATCTCCCTTTAAATTAGAGGGGCAAAGGTTTAAAAATAATATCAGGAAGAATTACTTTACTGAGAGGGTAGTGGATGCATGGAATAGCCTTCCAGCTGAAGTGGTAGAGATTTACACAGTGAAGGAGTTTAAGCATGCGTGGGATAGGCATAAGGCTATCCTAGCTATAAGATAAGGCCAGGGCCTAAATGGACTCTCCAGTGCCAGGAAAACATATCAGTTTTCCCTGGCACTGCAGGACCCTGCATTGCCCCCCTCCCCATGTTGCTGAAGGGGTTAAAACCCCTTCAGTGACTTACCTGAATCCAGCTCGATGTCCCTCGTTGCTGGGTCAGGCTCTGCCCACGCTCCTCCCCCGCTGTCAGTCGGCCGGGGAGACAATGCGCATGCGCTTTATTCAAAGCTTTCCTATGGGGATTCCGGAGACCCTGGAGGTCCTCATGCATAGTGGGAGGACGTCCAGCGTCGTTTAAAACACTTTTCGTGTTCTAAGAACACAGAAAAGTCCCTCAAGTGGCTGTCTGATAGACAGCTACTAGAGGAGAACCTAACCCTGCAAAGTAATTATTGCAGTTTATAAAAACTGCAATAATTACACTTTCAGAGTTAAGGGTAGTGGGAGTTGGCACCCAGACCACCCCAATAGGCAGAAGTGGTCTGGGTGCCTGGAGTGTCCCTTAATGAAAATATTTAGAAAATTGGGCAGACTAGATGGGCCGAATTGTTCTAATCTGTTGTCATTCTTTGTTTCTATATTTCATTAAGGATTCATCAATTGATACATTTTGTTGGGGGGTATAAACTTCAGAAAATTTGTGATGAAGATGGTCTACCAATGGGCGTGTTTTATGAAGCCTATCATATTGGGGGTGATCTCTGGGATGACAGAGGGTATTGTCATTGTCATATCGGAGCAGCGTCTCATATCTTGCTCTAGACATGGTTTGGGAGTACACTGGACCAGAACAGATCAGGTTGGTGCTCCAGTAAGAGCAAATGGATAGCTTTTTTTATAATCTCCATGAGTATAGTAAGAGCCCAGAATTTTTTCAGTTTATGAACATCTGTGGGCCAAGCATGTTCCCTGATTGCATAGCTACCCAGATTGGTATTAATAAATTGTGTAGCACATAGATTAGTCTCCTCCCAGATGGTATTCCCTTAAAAATAACTCCATATATTGCATAGTGGAGAAGTCATGCACATTGACATTAATGCCTGCGTTGGCACTAAAAGGGGGGATGTTAGGCTCAGCTAACTGTGGAGGTACCCACTCCTCCTCCACATTCGGCATAGCAGGGGAAGCACAGCTTCTTTTTGCAACCGGCTCACACACAGATGACGTGTCAGAAAACTGACCTGGGTCAAAATCGAACGCAGTGTCAGTGGCGTCAGAGTCTGACGCCAAGAAGGCATATGCCTCCTCAAAACTATACATGCACAGCATATTTCACCAACACACTACCTGACTAACCTAACAATTTTTTTTTTTTTTTACAATCTACCTAACTATGCTAAAATGACTAAAACAGACTAAAACAGACTAAAACGTCCTTTAGCAGAAATCTCTAAACTAACTCCTGCAAAAAGAATCTAATGGAGATTTGGGGGAAGGCTAGTGACAAAAATTTGCCGCTTTCAAACACCACACAAACACACTCCAACACACAATTTTTAACAAAAAATAGCCCTTAAGGGCAAAAAAAAAAATACAGACAGTATAAATGCACTGCTGTAACATCATTTGTCAGGGAAGGGGTTAAAAGGAATTTTATTTATTTTTGACACTTTTTCACAGGTTCTCCAACACTTCTGGCAACAAACTATCAAGATCTTTGTCTCTCTCTCTCTCTCAAAACGCTTCAGAGGAAAGAGGGCTCAAACGACATAATTGGCTGTTACTTCTGCCTTGCATGCCTGGCAGATCGTAACAGCTGGATTTCGGCAAAAGCGATCTCTGATCACTCCAGCTACACGTTTTCCGTAATGACGGTTCAGGACCGCCATCGCTCCTCAAGGGGATGTGAACCACTGGCTTTGCATCTTTTTCTAAGTTGTGTTTCAAAGCTGTTGTATACAGCAAACACAGACTCAAAGGAATCCATGTTTAAAATGGAATGAGGCAAAAATGTGAGGCTTTGTTAAACTAATTTGCATATGCTCACCCAGAATCCTTTGCGGTAGTAACATCGCTGCAATTTTGTGATTCTTGTAGGAAAAGCAAGTCTTATGGCTTGACTGGTGTGTAGATTTTTGTTTAACAGGTGGAAGGGGTGTTCAATCACAAATTTATCCCCACCATAACCTTTTTGGTTTTTGAGAGATTATGAAATTATATATATTATTATTATTATGACAGACTGCAAAAACGTTCTTACCATTTGAGGACAACATTTGCTGGAATAAAGGCTTCTGAAGGGCTTGGTGTCATCTGAGCCTGTGACACTGCGAACGATGTGGCAAAGTTGTAGAAGTTATCCAACATCTTCTGTGTAAACTAAAATGTACGAATAAAAAATAAAAAAAAATAAAAAAAATTAGATGCATTACACAGCATTTAAAAAAAAAAAAAATCAGTTCTGGTTAAAGTGAAAACTAAAATGGAGGAGCAGCCATAATTAAGGGAAAAGATGGGAGGCGGGGGTGAGAGTAACAGGTGTAGAAAGGAAAACGGATGGAAGGTTTTTAAAGGAAAAAAAAATATCCTAGGGATATTTAGAGGATATTTTAAGGATTAGAACAAAGACCTTCTGTGGGTCTCAGGTGAAACCCAATGAAAGACCACCAGGAAGCAGTGAGAACTATATACACGTGGCTAGCAAGTGAAAGTCACCTTGCAAAAACAAGTAAAACAGAAAGAAGAAACAAACCGATCATCATTCGTGGACGTGATAATGGAACGGATAATGTCGAAGGATTATTATATTAAAAAGTGTTTTTGAGGTGACAGCTGTATATTGGGTGGCTAATAAATAGGGTATTTGCAGAAAAGGAGTGCTGGACATTCTTTCTTTTTAGGTTGACTTGAAAAACTGAGATATTGGTACGGGGCAGGGGAAGCAGATCAATGACTTCTTTTCCTGACATTTGCATTTGAAAACACAAAGCAAGCGCGCGCGCGCACACACACACACACACACACAAGCAAGAGAGGAAGCCAAGAATAATGTAACCCTTTAGTGACAAGTGCCATACACCATGTGAAATAATGCAGGTTTTATAAAAAGATATATTTGGATTACTCATTCCTCCCTGACACAAGCTAGCAATACACAAACGGACTATTTAAATATGGCAAATACAGGTGACGGCATGCAGAATACATCAGTAGTAGGCAAGATAGATAGTGTGTACGGTTGTGGGAATATGGCTGCTGCCAAATTATAAAGTCGGGGATTATGGTAAAATTATACCACTTCAATAAAACAGTGCAATGGGTTAATATTGCAGCAATCACTAACTGAATATTCTTGCGGAGTCCACTGGCTTCCGTGTGTTCATGTAAGCAACAGCTCTGTCATCAGAGTACAATGCTAGTTGTTAAGAACCCCATTGTGGCGGAACCAACCTCGCCACTGTCCACTGGAGAGGCCTGGTTGCTCGCCTGCTCCCTTTAGACTATGGTCCTGCATTTTAAACTTTTATTTTCCCCGCAGAAAGGTTTATTCGTGCCTTTCTGCGGATTGTTAAAGCCATGCTTCCCCAGATAGCTATGCCATGGAGCCCAGCCGTATACTGAAAGACTGTATGAAAGACTTTGGCTCCATGGCGATTGAACGGTATGTATGTGATCTGAGCACCATCCGGTAATAATGTGCGCTCAGATCTAAGCTATCAGGGGATAGGTAGAATGTGTATGTTCTATGTGATAAATGTAACAGTATGTATTTTTTTGTCTTTTATTGTCCTTTGTCTGCCATGTGGCTAATGGAGTTTTGCCTCTGTCCTTGGAGATAATTGGATTACTTTCCAATTATCTCCAGGATAGAAGACTCTGTGGAACTGGTTTTGGGCAGAAAAGCCATGCTTCATTTGGTCAAATAGGACTTTCCCTTAACTTTTTAACCCCTGGATGGAATTGGCTGAATGTTGGTTATGTTTATATTTAAAGTATGATGATTCTGAATATGTATGTTTTATGTGAATATGATGCATATTTTTAAAGTTACAGTGTATGTGTAAAAAGTGTATTTTCCCTGCCTGTGATAAATTACATTAACCCATTGTGTTCAGTAATTATATCACAGGCAGAGGGGAGGGATGTTTGTTTGTGCTGGGTGTGTTTTACGGTTCTCCTGTAACTGATTGGTTGTACTGTGTCCCACCCTGTGGGATGTCCCCTTGCATGGAGACTTGCATTAAAGCCAGTGTGTGGCCATTACAGTGGAGTTCCTGCTTAACCCTCAAAGTGAAGTGTCCTCTCATTATTGGGGGAGGATTTATTGTATGCTGTTCCAGTTTGACTGCTAGGAGTGTAAACCTATTCGCGTGGTTTTTCCTATTCGGCTGTATACAACATTCATAGGCTTAAAAGTACTCATATGCTTCTCCAGTTCGGTGATTGTGGTGTCTGCCAGAGTGCTTGGAGTCTTCAGGAAGCGCTAGGAGCATCCTTCAACGGAGGTACCCAGTCGGGGTGCCAGGTGATCCGTTACACCCATTTATATAAAAGTTCCCATACTTCAATTGCGAATACCATTATGTGTATCAGTGTTCCCCTAGAAGCGTGTTATCAGCAGAAGAAGATCATTAAAGATATAGGTCTATAGGTCAGTGGCTGCACACAAAGGGTTTTGATAACAGGAAGGTGCAGCCAGGGAGACTTTAAGAGAAATAGATCATATATTGATCCTGTATACACCTCAAAACAAAAACACCTGAGAAATTCACATACAAGAAAGACAAACACAATGTGAAACCCAGAGAAATCATGAAGAATAACTTTAATTCTTCATTTTAAAAAGATACTTAGCTGGAACATTACAGAGGGAAAGGCACCAGGTAGTGGAACTTCATCACAGAAATGCCCATACAGCACATTATATGCAACTCATGCCTTAATTTCCACAAAGCAGATTGCGAATGCAAACAGAGGAGCTCTCTGTTCCTTCGCACTATATATCTAGAGAAAGGACAGCACAGAATGCCCCCACCCCCTCACCCCAATGGTACAAGACAAGGCCTTGAGAGAACAGGCTATAGTATACAGACCTATATATGGCTTATAGCTCTTTCTCTACCGAAAACGTACCTGTGTGAAGGAGTCTAGCGTGGAGACAGCCGCATTAGCTACGGGCGTTTGTTGTGCCATCTGCTCCAAAAGTTCCACAGAGATCCCTATCTGCGCTACGGAGGGAGTCTGCGGTATATTCATGGCTCCAAATGGATGTTGGCCTCCTTCCCCTGCAAATAAACAACAGTCTGTTAACTGTGTGTACGTTTTACAACTTTCACTCCTAATCACAACGCAAAAAACTACGCTCACTAAATCAGACGCTTGTCAACTACATTTCGCACAATCTGTCAGAGAAGTTAAGCCTAATTTTTTTTTTTTAGACAGTAAGACATCCTATAATGAGAACTTGACCAGCAAAGGGGTTGAGCAAACAGGTGGTGGGCGATAAAGAGAATAAATGTGACAAATGGGATCCCATAACCTACACGTACTTTTTCAATGATTAAAAGCATAACCACCACAGTCCACTGTACTGGTAATGATGGCCTGGATTGGCCTAGAGCCGTAGGAAATATGTCTTATAGGCAAAGAAGAGGTTAGAGAAAGTAGGGAGTTTCTGATATCAACCTTTGTCAATTCTGCATCGCTATCATTGGCTGGAAGAAAAGGCTCACATTTCATGAGACGTTCTATGGAGGATTCCACAGTTTTGCAGGATTTTATAAACACCTGAGTTTTGTACTCTCGCACATAAAGAAGACAAAAAAGTGATCCACGAAGTGAAAATTAATTTCTTGGTTTGATCTGATTTTCAACTTTTCTACATTTATGGCATGACCTTAATGTTTTTTGAGATCACTTGGGGTCGTGTGCAATTCTAAATAGAGATACTTTTTTTTTTTTTAGTCTGTACTCACACTTTGAGTTTACAGGGGGTTAAAACAAATAAATCTCAGATGTGAACGACCCTGACTTGTATAGCAAATTATCAAGATCAAACCATTCTGTAATGGCAAATATCCAACAGCCAATTCATCAGTTTGAGTGCATTCTATGTATCCAATCAGCAATCAAGTTTTTAACTTACTACAATATAATGATTAGTGAATAAATTCTTCGAGAAAGTAGTAGTTTTGAAGCTTACTAGTTAGCACTATAAAACGGTGTTCTGTAATTTAAGCCAAGGCTGTTTTACACTAAAGTCACCACATGTAGAATTCGATATCTACAAGCAAAGTCTATACAGCATTTTTTCAGCTGATACTGCAGAAGGATTCATACTGAATTAGGAACCATTAGTAACTTAGCAGAAATGTACAGTTTGTGTCACACTATCCTCTAGTAGACAAACAATCTAGATCAGTGGTTCCAGACCCAGTCCTCAAGTACCCCCTACCAGTCCAGGATTTAGGAATAACCCTTTTGTGTCTAACGTGATTTTTTTTCTAAAACACCTTAGATACAACTATGTTGTTATCTCTAAATCCTGGATTGTTAGGGGGTACTTGAGGATTGGGAACCCCTGATCTAGATCACTGGCCTTCAGAGCCACTAGCATACTAGCAATGTCTAATGACTGAATACAATATTAAAATTATCTCACCAGAAAGTATACATTTAACTTTAACCAGCTTCCCGGGATTATAAATATTATCCAACTCATGCCCTCATGTGACCAGAGCTGACATTTTCAGGAATGAAACCTGGGAACTTGAGATGTTAACATTTGAGATCCTTCAACTGATGCATTAACCACTGAGCAATCACCAATAAAAGAGTCCTCCGATCTAGTCATCCTGATTTAGATCCCTCTGTTTCTTACAAATAACTAGGCTTCACTGCCCTATTCTGACCCCTTTACATGGGCGATCATACATAGAATAGGGATTGCAGATTATCTCCCTTTCTTACCCGATTTCAAGCCAGAGATTTTGAATATGGCACTTGGCTTTTCATTGGTGATGAACCCAAGGAGCTGCCAGACTGGCATCCCACTCTGATCCGGGTATGATATGTAAACAGACCCTCCCATTCGCTCAGGAAAGGGCACTGTACCTAACATGAACACCACCACATGATTGATGCTATCATAGTCAGGTAGGTTGAAAACAAATTTATCTTCGGCTACCTGCTGGGCATCTGTCTGCACCTGTCAAAGAAAACACACAGAAGATAAATATAATAAAAATATAGGAAAGAGCACACAGGCTGAAATCCATAAATCTACTCTCTAACACACCAAGCCACTCCCAGCCAGTTGCCCTCATTTACATAGCCCTTGGTTTCCCAACCAAGTGCGAAAAGTACTTTTAAAAATAAATACATTGTTACTTACAAGACTTCCAACATTCTATAGGTTAGCAACCAAACAACACAAGTCTCTGGAATACTCATAGTAAAGAAAAAAAAAAAAAAAACTGGCAAACTGTGTAAATGTTTTTGATAGTTGGAATATATAATTATTACATATCATTATACATATCACACCATCCCAAATAATATAATATTATACATATCACGCCATCCCAAATAATATATCATGTTATACATATCACGCCATCCCAAATAATATATCATATTATACATATCATGCCATCCCAAATAATGTATCATGTTATGCATACCATCCCAAATAATATATCATGTTATACATATCACGCCATTCCAAATAATATATCATGTTATACATCCCATCCCAAATAATGTATCATGTTATACATATCATACAGATTGCTGTATAGTAAGCATACATTATTATTATTATTATTATTATTATTATATAATACAGCACAGTATATACACTATGCAGATTGCTGTATAAATAAAACAAACCGCTTTATATCATGACATAGAATATATAATATAGAATATATAATATGACAGACCCCTCCCCCCCCCCCATGCCAGCTGTCTGCCATCACTCACCAGTCTTCCAGCCACCAGACAGCCGAACATGTCTGCCCTTCTGCCTCCCGAACCAGACTCGGCTCTCCCAGTCCGGAAACTTCCAGAAACCCATAGAACTAGGCGGCGAGAGGTTTCCAAAAAACTATACGCTCTCCCCGCAACGCCCCCGAGTCTGCCGGCGCCATGATTAACCCTGGCAAAAGATTCGGCCCGTCAATGGAGGCCGCCATCTTTAATCCTGGCAGAGTTGGTATTTTGGGTTTGACATATCACGTGATAAGATGCATTATTCCTGGGTCACCCAGGAATAGGGCAAAACAGCAAATAATCCCTAATATTACCTCATCAATTTACTAAACCACTACTCATTTACTGTCAAATACTATTTATATTATTACTACTGATATGGGCATGAAACAGAAATAAAAGTGAAATAAAAAGCTGGCTTCATGGTTTTGTCTCCTTTGTATTGTATGAGTAAATGTGTTCCTTTGTGTTTTTTGATGATGTCAGCAGCCTTTCTGTTAAAGGAACCCTCCAGACCCCTAAAACACTTTATCTTGCTAAAAAGAGTGAAGAGGGTGTCCTCTTTTTTTATTTTTTCATTTTGCAAAAAGTGCAGATTTCAAAAGAAATTGACCTTTTTATAAATCAACCTGGTAACACCCCCATGCCTTTCAAACCGACGACAGGACCAGTTACTTCCTGGTTTGGTTAGTTCAGTGGAGATCAACTCAAGAAGCAGCAATTGCCCAGAGCACCTGCCTTGCAAAGACAGCTCATTGAGTTGCATTGAGAAGTTTGTGATTGGACAGTCACAGAAAGTCTGGGAGGGGTTAAAAGGGGAGGGCTTGCAAAGGCAGCAGACAAGAAAAATGCAGGTTTTGCAAACGGCTTTTAGATTTATCCCCAAATGAAAAAATGCATAACTAAATGCATTTCTACTAAACAGTGATTTTTTTTTTTTATTCGGGCAATGGAGTGTCCCTTTAAGTATTAGACGTCTCTGAAGTGCCACCAAGTTGTCATTAACTTTGCAAGCCACCTAAGTGGTGGTTTTAACACTATAGGGTTAGGAATACATGTTTGTGTTCCTGACCCTATAGTGTTCCTTTAATCATGTGATGCATGCATGCGTATGTAAATGCTAGAGATATGTTGAGTATTGTCCAATCAGATGCTTCTCGTAAAAAAAACATTGAGAAAACATGGAACATACGCAGCCATATCAGTGCATCTCTATGAGAAACATTGAATTTGGTGCTTCTCACAGTAAAGCTTTGGATGCAAATAGCAACCGCTGACGGTACACCTGCATACTGATGCCAGACATCAAAAAGATTCAACCATTAAATATAATTTAGGCCTTGATTTAATTTTGTTGGATAAGCTTTCCAACAGATTTAATATTTTTGGATAAACCTTTAAAAAAAAAAATTTTCAACATATTAAAAGTTCAAAAAATATAGAATACATATGTAAACTATATATCACTATATTAAAAAAAAATCAAAATATAAAATTTTTTAAAATATTTTTCATGATATTAAATTATTTCAAAAGTTTATCCAAAAATATTAAATAATAACCCACAACACCCACATGCACATACACAACACACAACTTGCCGACACATATAATCGCACACCCAAAGGACAACAGGAGGCGGGACAATGAGCAGGTCAGTCGGGAACATACACAAGTAAACACACAACACATACGAGCAACAGCATGCCAAGACTTTAAACTACACAACCTGAACCAAGACCCACTACAAACACACGGACAGCCAAGACATAGAACAAACGGCCACTGCAGTCAGATAATAACAGACGAGAGTTGCGAAACCACATGATCTGAGAGCCACACACATCCACAGCCCAAACACAGACCTTGGCGATCTAACCCAAAACCCACAGAACAACACCACATCCACGCACACAGGTGAACCCACCTCAACGCGACGACACCAAGACACACAGACAGTGACTCAGACACACAAACCGGAACCACAAAGACGCAACAATAGAGGCAGACACACAGAGCTCCAGAATAAAGCAACACTACATAGACATAACCATGGAAACACGCAATAGAGGTGACACAGACTTACCGCAGAAGGTTTCACCATCACCAGTAGAGGGGAAGGACACGAAACACACAAAACAAATACAACCCCAATATGCACGAGCGGGTAGCCACGAGACACACTAGAACTCAGGGCTACAGACAAAAGATCAGAACGCGTAAACACCAACTCACTTTCGCAAGATGGGCCTTCACTGCAGTTTACGGCAACAGGGATAAATACGCAATCACTGGCATCTCAGAAGAATACAGTGTATCATTAACGAACCACACTAACACCATTTAATGAGCCGATAGCTGAACACATGATACTAACTGCCACCCCAAATAGCCACCACATACCTGACGAAAACGCCCTAACAACGCAATACCAAGCAAGCTCACCACCTTTTGCATGTCTAGCCCTGCAAGGCTTATAAATGTCTAATATTTGTCATTGCGTGTTTATATTGACTTATACGCCTCTGCGCAGGCAACTATGTGTTACTCTGAGTTAACTGGAATATGTCGGCCTCACATTATATACACTTTCAACGTGCACGCCTCTGCGTAGGCAATTATATGCATGAATGTTACCAAGTTCAACACCCGTGCTTATATTGCTGACAATAAACATATTTAAAACAAAAATATTAAATAATAATTAGAATGACTGCTACTTGCCCAATTCAGCTGCTCAGATAATATGAAACCTACACTTTGGTAACAATTAAAAAGTTACTCCAGGCATTACAATCTCTGAAGTCTGCCAGGAGTGCCCACACTTTGTCTCCCAGTATAGGGGCAAACTGTTTTGCAATAGTTTAGTTTGCCCTCTCACCTGGTTACCCCTGGTTGTCAATCCCGCAGGTCATTCATTGGCTAAGAGCTTCAGCTGACCTCCCTCAGCCAATAAATGCCACTCTCTGATTAAAAATACAATGATACCTCGATTTACAAACGCCTTGGTTAACATAATTTTCGGTTTACAAATGAAAATCCATTGAAAATAAGGCCTTGGTTTACAAATTTTTTTCGCAATACAAAGCAAGTTTCCTCAGGATGCCTTGAACCTGGGAGGTTTATAGCACCGCCCGCTGCATGCTGGAGCCTGTGGGCAGCATGTGGCATCAAGTTTGGAGGTATTGGAGCGGCTTTTGCATCAAGTTTTGGAGCCATTCTGGAATTTTTTTTGCAGCGGTTTTCAGACTTTTTGGAACTTTTTTTGGTGCATTTCTCAAGCGGTGGAGAGGTAGGGAGCTGAGCTTCGTCATTTACTGTGTGTTCTGCATTATGGGTTGGTTTCCATGCCAACTCATTTTGACTTTTTTTCTGATCTCCGTAAAGGATTAATTGGTTTTCAATGCATTCCTATTGGAAACCGCGTTTTGATTTACAAATCTTTCGCAATACAAAACATCCAAGAGAACGCATTGTATTTGTAAACCGAGGTACCACTGTATGTACAAAATTAACATTAGCCATCCCAAAACTCTTATTTCAGGCTGGTCAAAGATGGCTCAAGTTGGTGGAGTTGCCCTCTGGCAACAAATATGTTAAATTCATTATGTGCAGTGTTTCATTGTAAAAAATGCTGCACATACAGACTCCTGGCACCATAACAACTTTAAATCAGTGAACTGATCACAGTGCTTGGAGTAACCCTTTAATCATAAATCCGTCCAACCTGAATGGCAATGGACTAACCAGCCCCCACCTAACCTGCTCATATGACTGCACTTGATAATGCCAATGTGGATACAGAGAGAGCCCCCATTCTTGTCAAACCACTACAAAGGTTTGGTGAAAAAATGTGTAACGGCTCACATTGATTTATTGCAGCACACGCTGTAGTGGTTATGTGCTTAAAGTCAATTAGAATTCCTCTAAAAATGCATATTTACAATATTATTATTATTGGTTGATCATATGTTGGATATACATATATATATATATATATATATATATATATATGTATATTTAGAATATTATTATTATTATTAGTTGATCATATGTTGGATATACATATATATATATATATATATATATATATATACATATTTAGAATATTATTATTATTAGTTGATCATATGTTATATATACATATATATATATATATTTATTTATTTTTTATTCAGTCATCTAATGTACATATTGAGAAAATAAAAGTCCAAAATATCTACCCTGGAGGTATTATGAATTAAAATGGATAAGCAGTACCAGCTTCAGGAGGTAGATGGCGCTGTTGGATAATCCAGTTCCAGCTCTTAGAGTCTCTCCCACGTGGTTGCCATGAGGCATGCGGAAGTGCAGGAAGCGTGTGTCCCTGAGCAGTGATTCCTAGGGATCATGGAGTCTGCGGACCCACAGAGCTTGCAGGACGAGATCAAGAGGAAGGATGAAGAAATTGTATCCCTCAGAGAGAAACTTGGAGAACTTCAAAGGGCCAGGTGTCCACATCCAGCATCACCGAGTGCCATAGAGAGACTGCCTGGGCTGTCAAAGGCTGAGCTCTCCAATGCAGACATCCTGAGATTCAGCAGACAGCTGGTCCTGCCAGAGTTTGGAGTTAAAGGCCAGCTCAGTCTTGCAAACACCTCTGTCCTGGTGGTAGGTTGTGGGGGTCTAGGGTGCCCTCTGGCCCAATACTTGGCAGCTGCTGGAGTAGGGCGCCTGGGGCTCCTAGATTATGATGTGGTGGAAATGAGCAACCTTCACAGACAGGTATTGCATGCTGAAAACAGGCAAGGCATGTCCAAATCTCTATCCGTGGTTAAATCCCTGCAGAAGCTGAACTCCACTGTGGAGTATGTCCCTTATCACATGATGCTTAACCCTGAAACCGCTTTAGAACTTTTTAAATTGTATGACATAGTTGCAGATTGCTCTGATAATGTCCCTACCAGATACTTGGTCAATGATGCTAGTGTTGCTGCTGGGAAACCCCTTGTATCAGCCAGTGCCCTAAGGTGGGATGGTCA